CACACACACACACACGTGTGTGCTGTCCGTACATATGAGCACGCACACACACACACACGTGTGTGCTGTCCGTACACATGAGCACGCACACACACACGTGTGTACCGTCCGTACACATGAGCACGCGCACAAACACACGTGTGTGCTGTCCGTACACATGAGCACGCACACACACACACGTGTGTGCTGTCCGTACACATGAGCACGCGCACACACACACGTGTGTGCTGTCCGTACACATGAGCACGCACATACACACACACTCACGTGTGTGCTGTCCGTACACATGAGCACGCACACACACACACGTGTGTGCTGTCCGTACACATGAGCGCGTGCACACGTGTGTACAGACAGCACTTGGAGACGGCATATACGATGCGCAAGTACATGTACTGTACTTAAAAAAACAGCACTCGCTGCTTACAGACACAGTGCAGACACAAAAATGCTCCCTGCCCTGTCATAGCCTTCACAGACTGCTGTTCATATGTTACTGCATGTTGGACTTCTTTCGCACCATACGTAACCAACCGTGCTTTTCGGAGATGGGGGGGGGGGATAACAAACTAAACACGAAAAGCAGTTTTGTCTTTAGTTGGGTCAAGTGCAGTTAGCGAGCCCTGATGAAGGCCGAAGCGGCACACGAGGAGGGGGGGGGGGGGCAGCACCATGCCCGACCGCCTTTGTCTCCCAGGTGGCTTGTACACACAAATGTGCACACGCACGCAGACACGTGTTGTGTGTATGAAGACAACCGAATGACTTGAACCAAAACAAATGCGGGGAGGGGGTGGCGCTGCAGCAGCTACACAGATGGTCTGATCATGCAAGCAGGCCGCCTCGAGGACGTTTGCGTTTTCAAGGGCTTCGAGATGATTTGGAGCGAGGCCGAGGGCAGTGGTGGTGGTGGTGTGCGACTCCGGGCGTGTGCCAGGGGTGCCAAACTCGACGGGAGCGGGCGGCCTGGTGTATCCGTGGCCGCACCTTGCTTGCGCCACATGGTGTCACGCTGGCGAGATGTTAACTACCTCGCTTGGTACACAGCGGGGGCGGGGGGGGGGTCGTGGGTTCGATCCCAACCCTTGACGCCTGTCGTATAATTTGGACTTTGCACGTCTCTCTCTCTCTCCGTGGTCGCGTGGATTTTTCACATAGAGTACTCCGGTTGTCCCCCCTCCACGTTTAGAAACGTGCGTCACGGTACTTGGCTGCCGTAGATTTCCACGTGATAAGCCACTTCGCTGAGCTATCATTTGCGATAGCCGCCAGGTCGCTTCTGAACAAGAGCTACATAGCTCAGTGGGCCTGACCTGGTAAAAAAAAAGTTTAGTTTTAGACTATGCAGCAGCAGCAAGTGGAACTTTGCACACCCTGTGCACGATCTTCTTTCAGATAGGGCGCATACAAAAGACAAATGCATCCCCCCTCCCCCACCTGTGTGCGTACCCTAAACTGCGTAGAGTGTTTGGGGACAAAGTGTGCTCTGAGTGCCCTGTCCGTGGAGGGCTTTGCGCGCACCGGGCCCCAAGGAGGATGCCAGCGCCACCGCTGGCTAGTTCCGCCTTCACCCTTTTTTACCCGCGGTGACAGCAGCAGTTAGCAGTCGCAATAATAACAGCAGCAGCAGCAGCATCGCGGCCGTGCGTATGTTTCCACGCCTTGTTGTTGAGGATCGCTTCGGAGCTCTTAGAAAACGCGTTCGCGGAAGGGGCTACCCCAGCCCCCGGAGAAGGAGGAGACCTTGGAAGGAATGCGAGTTATGAAACTCTGCACTCCCTCCCACTCGCATCTCTGTTCGAGAGAGGCGGCTGTTGTGATTTTATTATTTGTTTTGCCGGGACGTTGCCTTCTGCCGCCGCTGCTGCGGCCCGTCGCCCAAAGTTCGCGGTTCGAGCCTCACGGCCGCCCTAGTTAATGCTGCGGGTGCATTTTGCTGCACACACTACACGCCGTCTGGGAATGTTTGTGAAATGACCGAATGACTTGACACATGCTCTAAACTCAATGCACCATAGTACGTCCGATGCCGTCTCGGTATTTTATGATCACTAGTGAATGTTGTACTCTAAGTATAAATGTTGTGGCTTTACTCTCCAACACCCCGGTGTGCTTAAGTAGCAACTACTTGGCATGCTGTGTTTGCGTGATGAACCTTAGTAAGTGGCTGTGTCGAGTGGTGGCGAGTTTAACGACGCATATTTTATTATGTTTTCTCAGCGGTTGACCCATTTCCAAAAAATGTTGGACGAATTACTTCTGAATCGCAGTCCCAATTTGGTTGACGCGCTATATCCCCCAGAAGCAGGCCACTTGTTCCTTGTTGACAACAATGATTACCCACTGCTTTGAAGTGTCTGAAATGCGTGCTTCGAAAGGTGGAACAGATCGGCCACAAAGAGGGAGCCTCTGGGTTATTTTAGGAATTATGTTTTCGGTGTAATTGGATTTGGTCAAATAATGGCGATGCTGGCCCCGTGACAATATCAGCTGGAATGAGACAGATCTCATCAGATCTAGGAAACTAAGAGGGGTGAAACCCATGTCGTAAAGAGAGGGGTCCTTGTCTGTAACATCGGCAGTTCACCAGCATTGATTCCAGTAACCATGACCCTGCTGATGAGGCACTGTTCGTCGAAACCCAGTCCAAAGTTTTGCTTATCTTGAATCAACAGTGCCGAAATGATGCACTTGCAGGAGGAGGATCGTGTGGCTGGTTGGATTCCAGAAGAATACTTTCACTTCTGTGAATGTGTAGAGACGGATTACAGTAAGTCCTTGTTTAGCACGGTGGATGCGTGTCCTGAAAAGTGCCACGTTAAACGGAAAACGCGTTAAGCGGAAACAATTTCCCCATACATAAATGTAACGATACATTTTGGCGAGATACGATGCAGTACGCACACACAGATTGCAGGAGTAATAACTGATGCTATGCCACCCTGTTACTGTGTAATTTTGCGTACTGTATTTGTACCGCCTCAGCCGCGCAGTTTGAGAAAGTAGTTCGTCGTTGACCGCTTAGAAGTCGCGTTATCACGTGTTGTGCGTTACGCGTTGTAACGGTGCGCGAAAAGTCTTCCCTCGTGGGGGAACCGCGTTCGAGCGAAAACGCGTTCTGCTGTGAACACCATAGCGTCAAGTGAGGACTTGCCTCGTGTGTGAACGAAACATCACAGTCTGCCTATTTAGTTGGAGTCGGGTTGAGAGCGGCGGTGGGAAGGCACTTCGGTGAATGCGTGGTGACCCTTAGCGTGCACAAGCAGGGTCGCCACAGGCGGCTGCGGCGCCTGCGTGGTGAACAGCGAAGGGAAACGTTTCGTCCTGAACGGTGGGGCGTCACGCTTGTTATTTTATGTTTTTATTCAGGCGGGGAAGGGGTGGGGGGAAGGAGACGTTAGCGGAGGGGAGTCTGGAGGCTAAATGGTGACAGCTGGGCGCGGGGCTCAAACGGAGGTTTTTTTTGCGTTCGTATCAAGTCTCATCCTCCGTTCGTCCTCCAGCGGGAGAAACAACAGGTGCCGTCGTACTGACGCTCACCCACAAGGGTGAAGCTCGTTTGAGGTGTTGTTTTGGGCCGATAGCTGTTGCGTTACGGAGGGATGGCGGCGCACAGCGGAGAGTGTGAACCGGTCCTGGGCCATCCCTAGGTCGTTCTCGGCCTCAAATGAGTACCTGGTGCAGTGTGTAAACATCGCCACGTGGTCTTCGTAGGTGCTCGAGAACAGCACTTGCCCCACAGCCTGTTAAGACTTTACGGGGGATCTTTGTCTTTGCTTAATTCGGGCTGTTGTGCCACCCAGAATTCCGTGCTCTGTTTTTGTACCCGCGGTTAAGTTTAATAATAGAAAGGGGACAAGATTTACGGGCCACGTGTACTCATGACGGGTAGCTCTTGAAGAGCAAAGTGCAATGCATATTCCCGCGTCAATAAATGAAACTCACTCGTCAACAACACTGTGGCCTTAATAAAGTATATATATGCTGTATATAATCGGTGACGTTTTGGGCAATGTACCTTCTGTGTCTGAAGATCCTCAAGCCCAGAAAAGAATTGTACCGATCTACATTCTGTATAAATCAGATGTAATTTTAGTTTCAGTCTGTCGGCCTATTTACAGTATTGAATTCCTCTTTAGGGGGTTATGTAAGCCGGCTGCAATGTTTCAAGCATGCAAACTCCGTGGAGAGATTTCGTCCTTCCGGGGCTCATCAACAGGGCCAAGTATGATACATGCTGCTGGCTTATGTAACCACGGGATCGAGTTGTGTATGTGTGTGTGTGCACGTGTGGACACGTGGGATTGTCATGCGTTCAACATACATACATACATATGTGTGTGGAATCATATTACGTATGTGTTGGTGCGGCCGTGTGTGGGTGCGTATGTGATGAATATCTGAACCGGTTCTGGGCCTCCCCAACGTTAACTCAGCATAAAATGAGCACCTGCTGTGGTGTGTAAACATCAGCACTGGGGAGACAAAGGCGGCCGGGCATGTTGCTGGACACCCACCCCCGTCACGTGCCGTGCTGGCCTCCATAGGTGGTACTCGCTAACAGCACTTGCCATCAACAGCCTGTTCAAGGCCATGGGGTGGGGGGGGGAATTCGTGTTTGTCTTTGAATCGTCTTTGGTCTGGGACGGTTTTTGCTGTTGTTTTGCTGCCTCGTCAAAGCTTGGGAATTGGTGTACTTATGCCATTTATAAACTTTATATATTTTACGTATTTTATTTTTATTGATTTGCTTACCTTTCTTATACTTTGCACTCCTGTCGCCTTCTTGTATTGTTTGCTGTTGTAAGTTTATGACCCCCCCCTCCCCCTGCTGGCCATCTGTGAAAAAGAGCTTCAAAGCCCATCGGATTTTTCTCCAGTCTAAATAAAGATTCTGATTGTGATTCTTTGTGTATAGGAGTGTGGACGTGCGTGCAGTGTCTCACGTGCGTGTGCTGTGTGTGCTGTGTGTGCTGTGTGCGCCGCGTGCGGATGCTCAGCGCCACGATGATCGGGCGGATGCGGCACAGCCTGCGGCGCAAGAAGGACGGTGACGGCGCGGAGACGCCGCGCCGCCCGGCGCAGTGGGAGATCGACGAGAACAACGTGCGCACCGAGGGCTGCCACTTCTTCGTCAAGGTGAGCGGCGCGGTAGAGTGGCGATTGAGCGGTAGAGAAACGGCGATCGCGCGGTAGAGCGACGATGAAGATTCGACGCGGTGTCCAGTTTCGCGATACGGCGGTTCGTCGCGATGTCGGTTGCTGGCGTGCGTTTTCAAAAAGTTACCGGCGAGAAAGCAAAGCGATTGAGAGCGGTCGTTGTAATGATCGGTGGGGGGCTTTATACAAACGGACACCGCCCCCCCCCCTGCTGTGTTTTACCTGTGCAGTACCTGGGCTGCGTGGAGGTGCAGCAGTCCAGGGGAATCCACGTGTGCGAGGAGGCCGTCAAGAAGCTCAAATCTGTACGTACAGTCGCCTGCGTGGCCATCGGGTCCTTTCAGCATAGGAAAAAAAGTTTTGCTGTCTGACTGGTGTGCAAGTGCGCAGGTCGTGACCTCACCCCACACGTCTGCGTCGTGATGTCACCCACGTCCCACAGTGTTGAGCCTCTCCGCGCCCACCCACCCACCCACCCGCGCGCCCGCCTGCCCACCTTGCGCTCGTGCCTACCAGTAGTAGATGGAGGCTGGAGGAACCCGACGAGCTGTGTGAACCTCGCTCACGTGGGTGTCCGGCACCACGCTGGGATCGGATGGAGTGGAAAATGACAGAGGACGTTACATAACGAGACGCATCGAGTTGACTTTGTTTAACCCGGGTGAGAACTCGAGGCACAAGGAGGAGTCTCGTTTGCAAGATTGATCTAGCACATCAGTCTCACAGTTGGGGGTGATGATTGCTGCTGCTGTGCGTGTGTGTGTGTGTGATTCCAATTGAGGAATTTTTGAAATTTGGAAAACGTTAATGCTGATGCCAGCACACAATGGTCTCCTCTTGGAAATGACGTCAGCGGATTTTTGATGACCGCTGTGAGTGGAGCAGATGGCACGTAGGAGTATTGTTAATGTTGACACTCACACCGAAGTAATAACCAGGGTGGCCGCATGGAGACGAACCGCGAACCTCTGCAGCAATCCGCTGGGCGATGCCAGACCATGTCACCGCGCAATTAAACAGTCGAACAAAACAATGGAATACTAATAACAAATGTAAATAATCTGGGAGCAACGATACAAAATGACACAAAAAATGAACAAACCGCAGCTGTCACAAACCACCCGCCCTGCGCCTCTCCCCCTCTCCACCGCAGTCCGGCAAGAAGGTGCGCGCCGTTCTCTTCGTGTGCCCGGAGCAGCTGCGCCTCGTGGATGAAGACACCAAGGTGAGGAGGAGCCTCGGCAGCTAGGTCCACGCGGGACATGCCCGCCTGCACGCGCGTGCGCCTGCAGCGGACGTGCCAGCAATACTGCTACGCGGTGGGGGAGGGGGCAGGTGGTGCGTCGTTACTCCGAATTTGCAAAAACTCCGCGCAGATGCACTTGCGTAAATCAGGATGTGCATAGCAATCGTCGTCGGTTTGCCCCCTGACTGTAAAAAAATCTGGGCAAGGTCCTCCTGCCAAAGAGCCATGAGACTCGGTGAGGCTTTCCTAGGTAAACAAGAAGGGGTGAGTGGTTGGCTCGGGGGGGGGTGGGGGTCGGGGTAGGGAAACACGGGATGAAGGAGAGAGGGGAACGCAGCGGGCATAGCCTGGTGTGAAACAATCGAGGCCCAACAACGACAGCGAGTCTCGGGGGCAGCCGGGGCAGCACCGGTGAGTCCCAGGGCATCCTCGGAGATCCAACGGTGAACTCACTGCCCGGCGTAATGGGTCGTGCGCATTTTATTCTAGAGCCTCTGTTGGAATATCACAGGGTTGGCTGCTCTTTGCTTCCAAGGCAATGGGAGTGGTGTGTGGTGGAGGGCGTCGGTTGTGGCTCACACATGGAACAGTGAAGAGCTGACGCGTGTTGGTGGAGGGGGCGTCTTGCGCAAGTGCAGCGTTTATAGCGCGCTGCGCGACAAGCCCGGTGTCCCGAGTTCGATTCCCACTCACGACCAACACCATTGACGGTGTGGTGTGTAACCATTACTACTAGGGAGACAAAGCCGGTCAGGGCGTGGTGCTCGCCACTCACCCCCTCGTGTACCGTGCCGGCCTTCATAGGTGCTCGCTAACAGCACTTGCCCCAACAGTCTGTTAAGGCTACACGTAGGATCTTTGTCTTGTCTTGTGCTGCTTTTGACAAGGTGCGTGTCCTGGGCCACGGGGCCTGGGGACCCTGGACTTGTGGGAGGGTTTCAAAGGGTTATATAAGAATGGGTCCCACGTTTCTCTTGCAGTTTTCCTGCTCTCCTTTTCAAGCATGTATTGGGCACGACAGTGGCGAGATGTTAAGTACCTCGCCTGGTATGCAGGAGGTTATGGGTTCGATCCCGACCCTTGACGCTTAGATATTTGGAGTTTGCATGTTCTCTCTCTGGTCACGTGGATATTTCTCCGGGTCCTCTGGTTTATTTCGCTCCACATTTAGAAGCATGCGTTTAGGGTATTGTGGCTGCTTTAGATTTCCACATGATAAGCCACCTCGTTGAGCAATCATTTGTGGCCAGGTCTATTCAGAAAAAGAGCTTTTTAGCTCGGTGGGCCTTACCTGGTAGAATACACATTTTGCAGTAAAAAAAATATATCCCAGGTGATCTAGAGAGGCCATTTGATGAAATAGACGATAATCCAATGTTTTTAAATATATAGCTATTTTTAATTATTGTTCTTTCTCCCCTTCGTCCACAGGACCTGATCATGGACCAGACGATCGAGAAGGTGTCGTTCTGCGCGCCGGACCCGCGGAACGAGCGTGCCTTCTCCTACATCTGCCGCGAATGCACGACGCTCCGGTGGTTGTGCCACAGCTTCCTCGCCCGGCGAGACTCGGTGCGACACCCACTCGCGCGAACAAAGCTCATCGTCGTCATCATTAGATTGCTCCTCATCGTCACGATGATTGCGATGTCACCATCATGGCTGTATAATTTTTTCAACATTCTCGAGGAATCCAGTGGGCTGCAAAGCGCGCTGCACTGTGAACCTGGCAACCCGAACTCGATTCCCGCTCACGGCCAACACCTGTGACGATTATCTGAATCGGTCCTGGGCCTCCTCTAAGTCGACTCGGCCTGAAATTAGTAACTGGTGCAGTGTGTGAACTTCGCCACTAGGGAAACAAAGGCGGCCGGGGCGTGGTGCTGGCGACGCACCCCCTCGTGTGCCACGCCGGCCTTCATAGGCGCTCGCTAACAGCACTTGCCCCTACAGTCTGTTAAAGGCTAAACGGCGGGGGGGGGTTCTTTGTCTGTGTGTGCGGCAGGGCGAGCGGCTGAGCCACGCTGTTGGCTGCGCTTTCGCCGAGTGCCTCGAGCGCAAGCGTCAGCGCGAGCTGGGCTGCTCCGTCACGGCCACGTTCGACGAGAGCCGCACCACGTTCTCGCGCGAGGGCTCCTTCCGCGTGCCCTCCGCCACGGAGCTCGCGCGCCAAGGCGAAGGCGGCGCAGGCCAGGCCCGGCAGCTTCGTGAGCGACCGCCCTCATCTCCACTCTCTCTTTCTCTCCCCCCTCTCTCGATTGCTAAGACTAAAGGAACTATTTTTTATTTCACCGGGTAAGGTTCACTGCGCTGTATATCTCTTTTTCAAAGGCAACCTTGCCACAAATGTCAGCTCGGTGAAGCGGCTTATGTGGACACTTACAGCAACCAAACACTCCAAACGCACGTCGATTCCAAATGTATGGAGAACATGCAAACCTTAAATATACAGGCGCCGGGGGTCAGGATCGAACCCACGGCCTCCTGCAATCTAGGCGAGGGAGTGAACATCTCGCCACCGCGGCGCCCATGCCGCTGCGCGTGTTCCGTGCAATCGCTGCTGCACGCATTCCACAGGGAGGCGAAAGTTGAGCGTGACAAACTAGCAAAACCGGTTATTCAGAGGCAGCGATGGGGGGGGACCTTGAGGTTTGGCCAAGCGCCCAAGCGCCTGTTATTTATTATGGCCGCCCCGTGGCTCAAGAACCGGCCTAAGTCACCCTCCGGATTATTAGCATTTATTGCTGTCGCCCCGAGGCTTGCAGTGTTAGACCAAGAGGCACCTTTAGGGTCGTTCGGGCTGAGCGTCGACACGGGGTGTTTATACCGGCACGGCCACGGGAACAAACCGCCTCCTTTGGATATAATCGGTACGGAATGTACGAAACCCATTCCCACACGGACACGAATCGACGCTTCTCCTGATCGTCGGGACTCAAACCGGTTTGAGATCGTCGTTTTTTTTCCCTTTCCTTTTGCCTCCGGCGCTCTCTCTCTCTCTCCAGACCCCGCGTCGCCTTCCTCAGCCGGCATCGCCAACGAGGCCGCCCTCGACTTCCTGCCGAGCGGCGGCACCAACGGCCGCGGGCGGCGACGAGCCCCGCTCGGAGGACCCGGCGCTGCCGCCCGCCGCCGCCGCCCGCCTTCCCCGCCGACTTCTCGTGCCCGGCCAATGTCCCTCCCCCCGGCGCCGGCCGGACCCACGGGCGCAGCTTTCTCAGTGGGGACGTTCGTCAGCATCGCAGAGGGTGGGCGGCGCGGGGGGGGCAGCTCCGGCGGGGCGGGCTCTGGCGGGGGGTCGCCCGGGGGGGTCGCTGCCCCCCCAGGAGCAACTCGATGGGGGACTCGGGCGCCGGAGCTACCGCACGCCATCCCTCGCCGGCACGCGCCGCTGGAGGAGCTGGCGCGCCAGGGTTCGTTGCGCAACTTCCCCAAGCTGCAGCAGAGCTCGCCGTTCAAGCGCCAGCTGTCGCTGCAGCACCAGATGGGGCAGTGCTCGCAGCTCAACCGAGGTGAGGGCGGGAGAGGAGCGGGCCTGGGAGTGTTTGCTCCGAGCGAGGACCGGGTTGTGAGTTGGCGTTGCCAACTCTATCCTGGTTTTCCCAGAATCCTCTTGTTTTTCGAGGCGGCTCTCGTGGCCTTCCCGAGACATTTCAAGGTTTTGTTGTGGCTTCTCTTTTTCGTCATTTGCTGCCAGTTGTAAATACACATCATTAATTGGCTGAAAACTTGTTAAAGTAAATAGCAAAGTGCGGCACAACCCTCCTGAAAATGTGCCCTTTGGCTCAGTGTGTATTATCTGGATAAGTAAATAAATTCAAATAATAACAATCATAATATACCACTCATTTAACGTGTTCTGGTAGTGTGAGATATTCTTTTTACGATTAAATATTTAGGTTTTTATCTGCAGCTCAAGAGGTGGCAACCCGAGCTGGTGCACTCGGCTCCAGATTCAAGACGTAGGATTTGAGAGGGTGCCTGACAACTGGATATATGTTGTTTGTTAAATTTCATTGAAGCACTTGCAGGAGAAGGAGGACCATCGTGATTTTTTAAAAATTAAGTTACAGCAGCCCTTCAATTGTAGTGTTGAGCTCCGCATCAAACAAGCATTCAGGCGCCGCTAATCTCCTATTTACAACCCTGTGCCAGTGGTGGAAATTTCTCATTCCTATGGTGGGGACGAGTCACTGAAGGTGTGTTTATTTTTAGCAACTGGCCCCAGATTAACATAACGGTGAAACGGCAAAGACACATTGCTCGTGACGAGCCACCCCATTGCTCCTGGTGATGGAGACTGTGGTGGAAAAACTGGTCTGGAGAGAAATTCAATTGTTCGTGTGTATTGAATTCCTGCTGCTACTCCACCCACACCCGAACCCCCCCCCCCCATCCCCCGGCGGCCCCCCACAATCACCCGCTCCCCCCCCCCCCCCCCCACCCCCCCCCCCCCCCCCCCCCAAACCGTGTAGTTCCCGAAGTCGAGGTCATGGCTGCCGCACAGGAAACAGCAGAGGGCGACGCCCTGAGCTCCTTTTCCGGTTTCGATGGCTTCGGCGCTCGCCGCATCCTCCTCATCGTCTCAGCCGCCGCCGATCTCTGACCCCTTCTTGGCCGCCCCCATGCCCGGCCTCCGCAGCCCTCGGGTTGAGACCTCGCAGCGCGCCCTCCATTCGCTCCACACATGCCACGCCTCATAACGGAGTGGCCCTAATTGGGAGCCTCATCGTTGCCGTGGTGTTAACCGTGGTGAATCAAATTCGGAGAGATTCCCGGTTTCATCTCCCGGTGCGACGTTTGAAACAATGTGGAAGGTTTTTTTTTTATATTCCCCACCCCACCACCACCTCTGAACACCCAGGAGAATAAGTGGGAGACACACTGCATTTAGTTGATCGGCAGGTCGCCTGTGGTGGGGTAAAGTGTGGGTATTACCATGACTCTTCCAAGACATATGGCCAGAATGGAAGAGTAGGCCAAAAGTACTCTATAGAGGAGTTGTCTAGATCTCACTCTGTTGGAGCCGTGGCATGAGCGCTAAATTTGCAGGGCTGCACCCACCACTATCGTTGTCGATTCGTGATTCATCAAATCACGAGGTTGGGGCGTGGTGGGGGGGGAAGAGGTTGCCAGCGTTAATATTCTCACCGGATACCTTCCGGCTCACTGACGTTGACGAGCAGGTGGCACGTGACTAAGTGTCAGCCACAGCCGTGTGGCGAGAAATTATTTCTTCACCGTGTGTTGCCAACCCGGCCAGACCCGGCCCGAAACGTATCTCCCCGCGCGGCGCGTAACGTGTGCGACGCGTGGCGTGGCGCCGCAGGTGGCGGAGCGATGGGCTGGTTCCTCGGCGAGGACGATCAGCAGAGCCCCGGCCCCCAATCAGGACGGCGACGCACCCCGTCGGAAGCCGATCGCTGGTTGGACGAAGCCATCTGCGCATCGCGCCACAAGCAGCAGCAGCAGGCTGCGTGGGGGCAGGCTGGCCCATCGCGCGTTGCCTACGACGAGCAGGGCTTCCCGAGGGCCTTCTCGGACCCCACGATGCCCTCCTACTTCAACGGGTCAGCAGGGCAGGACCACCAGAAGTTGCACTTCGAGCTTAACAGCAACGTCAACAATCAAACGTGGGGCGGCAGCGGGCACGCGTCAGCCCTGTTCTCGCTGGGACCTACCGTGAGCCCCGACCCGTTCATGCCGGTGATGGACTCCCCGGGCCAGGCCAGCACCAAGGCAGGCCACATCGCCGGCATGTCGCCAAAGAGCTTTGAGATTCAGATTTAGAGCAGTCAACTGCCAGCACTACGGTTTTAATGTTTGGTTTTTTTTGGGAAGATTATTTGTGGCTTTGTCTTTTTTTATCACATGACCACTACTTTTTATTTTCTTAATTGCTATATATTAATATATTGCCGCACTTGTAAGGGCTTATTGCAGCCTGATAGTAGACTTTTCTTTGGAAGATGAGTTTAAGAAGGATATGGCCAAAGAGTTAGCCATATAAATGTAAGTAAAATACCACGTATTTTCTGATGTTGTTTTGTTTCCTAATCGCAGTTTCATTTCACTCCTTGTCGTGTGACCACGATACAAAATAACATTTGTAACATGACACAATCACTGTCCTACATAAAGTGTTGAAGAAACTTTTTTTAGTACGTCGGGGATGCGTTCCTCAAATGTGCGACGACGAATATTGAAACGACGTAAATCAAAGCGATTTTCAGAATACGGTGGTGGAGGTGAAGGCTGAGAGGCGAATGATAATGAGAAAGGACGGACGATGCTGTCAACGAAGTAAGTGTGTGGGGTTGATGCGACACAAATCGGGTAACGGTGTTAATAATAAAGTCACGGCCAATTGGTGAAACGACGTCAAAGGGGAGACATAAATCGGGGTATCACTGTAATTTACTCTTTGGTAATTTTACGTTCACCTCCGCCCACCCCCCTCCCTCTCTATAAAGTGCCGTGGCCACATTTTATCGCCACGATTTATTTAGCAAAGCCTAAAACTTTGGTGCCATTTTAAAACGGGTCCCCCGACCATGTTATGCAATGTTAAACATCGGTGACGAATTGCTAGCAGTTGGCCCCCGCCACCTTTGGCCTTGTTGTTGACGTTGGTCACGTTTGTGCTCGGCGGTAAATCCAGAGTCGGGGGCGGGGAGGGATGGGGGGGGGGTCGCCCTCCACCTCAGGTTTGGAAGCACAAGTTTTCCATGACGAATCAATGTGGCATAAAGCATTAAAATATACTTTTAATGCCACCAGCCACAGAGCCTGCACAAGGCAACTTAAGTGATGCTCTTAGTTTCCATCATGAATCAACATCAACTAATGTAACATTGCACTGATGATATGTTTTATTCAATCGGCCATATAGCCTGCTGTCCCAATGTGCTCAACTGCATTTGTTCTCATTTGCTGTAGCGGATTTTGTTAACTTAAAATGTATGTTTTCGTAGCCAGCACTACGACCCGTATTTGGGTTTCGTGCCAATTGTCGTTTTGCCGATTTCTGAGGTAGGCTGAGTGTCGTGGACACATTATGGGAATGGAGAAATGCAAAATCGGAGGTTGCCGGGAGATCAAACTCGCGATCACTGATGCTGCCACGGTGGTGTATTGGTCACCACAATGGACTTCCAATCCAGTGGTCGCTGGTTGGATACGATCTTCCGGCGTGGCAGTTGGGGCAGGTTTCTTAATTCCCCTCAACCCTCCACCCCTGTCCACCCAGCAGTATAAATGGATACACCACAGTTAGTCGGATCACGCGTGGTGGGGTAGAGTGTGGGTACTCCCACGTGGTCTCGCACGTCTGGGCAGCGAAGAAGAGTCGGACAAATGACCCACTAGAGTCTCGCGCTCTCTCTTGTGGAGGCCCTCCCGCCGACAGTGGCGTGAGCGAGCCATCGCATGGCCTGCGGCTTTAGCTTCTCTCATAACCCACCTCTCTTGGTGCCTCCCTGTTTATCCCAGCTGCTGCTGCCACTTCCGCTAATGCCGTCTTCGCTTTATGCGGACGACTGGAGCGCGTAGAGAGAGAGATTAAACGATTGTGTGTGGCGTCGACAAATACGTGCTTTGTTTCAGATGCCGTGCGCCGATAAAGCCGTTGCGTGCCAACGTGCCGCTGCGAAACCGGAGCAGTATTGATCAGTGTCGTCTGCCTCTCGTGTACGGTAATTGCCCCTTCGCGCCTGTGCCATCCCAACAGAAATGCGTTCGTCTTGTATAAGTGTTCGTTTTAAAAGATGCACTATTCGCAATGTCAATCTCTGGCAATGAGCGCTTGTGTGCCTTTATATCCAGATGCCTTGGTTGTGGCCTTGCATGTGAGAAGTTCTACTCGAGTTTTAAAAATAGTATTGTTTTTCTCTACACGACATCGTAACCACACGGGATAATGGTTTGAGGTGTAAAATCGGAGTAAAGTCCGTGAATGCTATAACACACAAGAGCCATTGAGAGCAACTGTATGTTCTATTATGGGCACATTTTAAATAAATTCTGCCTACACAGACAGATGCCTGTGTTGTTTGTGACATTGCGTGTGTGTGTTTTACTCTCGCTCATCTCACGCAGTTCACCCTTATCAACGTGCGTCTGTCCCGTAACCTCTTGTCAGCGAGCCTCCGACGCTTAACGTGGCCTCAAAGGGAACCTAGCCTGGCACAAGTACTGTGGTGGTGTTAGCACCACTTGTTGGCGAATGGTGGCTATTGCATACTTTGCGGTTCTGTGCTAATATAATCATCAGCCATGATCTATCCACTGCTGAATGAAGACCTCAGCCATCTTCATCTCTTATGGTCTTGTGATGCAACAATCATGGTGCCTTCATACTAAACGAAAAACTAAACAGTACTAAACTACTGTATTTTTATTTTACCAGGTAAGGCCAACTGAGCTATTAGCTCTTTTTCAGAAGTGACCTGGCCACAAATGATAGCTCAACGAAGCGTCTCGTGGAGATTTATAGCAGCAGCCAAACACTCCAAACGCGTGTTTCTCAATGCGGAGGTAAAACCCGGAGGAGCAGAAGAAAAATCCACGTGACCACAGAATATGCAAACTTCAAATGTACAGGCGGTCGGGTTCGAACCCCCAACCTCCTGTATACCAGGCGAGGTCGTTAACATCTCGCCACCGCGGTGCCCCAACCCAGCATGTCCTGGCCACACCTCGAAGACGCACGCCTACAGCACATGGCAAGCCCTAGTGGTGGTGGTGGTTACCCGTTCAAATGCTAACCAATGCTCAAGCCTGCTTATTATGTGCATCACACAATGCTGTAGTGAAAAACAACAAACAAAAAACTTCCGTAATCGGTAAATGCTTGCAAGGCAATCTTAATTGTATTTGTTTAAACAACACATCGGTGATGTGTAATACAGGGTTTTTTTTTAGTTAGATCGCGGAAATATAAATGTGTCGTTAAACTCTCCACCACCTGACAGCAAATTAGTAAGGTTTGTCACGTACACAGAACATGCAATCTGTGATGTTTTGATGATGTTTTCAGGCCATTGTGTAGCGATCACGCCGAGGACCAGTGACTTTGTCGTCAGATTATGGTGATTTTGTTGTATTTATATGGTGACGAGATGTTCTCGAGGTGACGAGATGTTGTCTAAGTGACTAGTAGCACGCATCCGAGTCCGAGGACCGAATTGCAAGATTCCGGGGACTGTTCTTGGAGAATTTAGTGAGGACGCTGCATCAGTTCAACACATGCGTGTACGTTGGGACTTCTTTCGCACCGTACGTAGCCAACCGTGCTAATTGGAGGCGCGCGGGGTGAAGGGCCGCGAACGAAAATCAGTTCTAAAGAAACGCGTTGCTACGCTTCAACGTGGCACTTGCGGTGAAGTTGTCTGGGAGACATTTGAACCTCATTGTGGTACCTCGGGGTACCCATATTACCCTGGCTCTCGCATCATGTCCGTGATGCAGTCATTACACGCTTTCATTTAACTGTATTAAATCTTGTAACTCAATTTTAACCCACTTCCCAATGTGGTATAAACTGCAAACTTGGTATACTTATGTCATAGTGATGACAATACTATATTCTATCGTAAAAAAAAACATTTTTTTTAACATATTTTTATACGTTATGTTTCGGCTTGGGTCTAATTGTCCACGGTCCCCTTACGTTATGGCAAGCTTCGGGGCCACTTCCTGGAGTCGTGGAGTTCTGACATTACTAGTACATTTCATAAAAGCGTGTTTAAAAAAAAAATTGTATTTAAATATTACTTCTTTTTAGTCTGTTGATGTTCGGCGATGCGGTAATCGACTCACAGCTCGACGAGCTGTGTACACTACGATGCACCACCACTACGGTGCGGACCGCGAGCGGTCAGGGTTTCGGACCAATCGCCCTCGCTGCGTTTCGACATCGTGAAGTGTGGACACGATTTCGCATTGATCGGTTACCCCCAGTCGCGGAGTGACGTTCACCCCTGGATAAAAGTAGTGTCCCAGAAATAAAATATTTAATTGCCTTGGCCCATTTTGTATTATTAGGTACACCGGGGTACCACCGTAAGGATCAGTTGTGACTGGTGACGGTCCATCTAGTGACACCTAGCGAGGCGCTGGACAAATTACACTATGTTACACGGTTTCTGTTCCTGGGTAGTGTTATTTTAAAAAAAAATGCTTATGCCTAAAAAGTATTGCAAAATTGCTATTATTCCCCACAAACTTTGCTTTTGTGACCAGGACTTTATGTGAACTAAAGACACAAATGCACACGTTTTCTCATTGAAAGTAGGTAACTTTCATAATATCACTGTCCGAGTCACAAAAGCAAAGTTTGTGGGGAATAATAGCCATTTTTCTGTACTTTCGAGGCATAAGAAATTAGGAAATAACACTTACTACCCAGGAACAAATGCTTTTTGTTACACAGTATTATGTGGCGAGCACCTCCGATTCTCACGGCTGGTCACGTACGGTGCGAGAGAAATTTCGATTTAAAGCTTTCGTGACTGCAAGGATTCATCTTCTTTGGTTCTTTTGGTAAAGTCACGTAGAATGAGAATAAAATAATCAATTAGTAAACTAAAATAACACTAAAATTCTCACGACGTTTCGGCCAGAAGGCCACTTGTGTTGTGGCCGAAACGTCGTGAGAATTTTATTGTTATTTTATTTTATTAATTGATTATTTTAGTCTCATTCTACGTGACTTTACCAAAAGAACCAAAGAAGGTGCGAGAGAAGTTCAGCATAGGGGTCGTCCATAAATGACGTCACGCAATTTTGGACGATTTGTGACCCCGCCCACCTCGTCACACGACGTCACAAAGAGTCAGACCCTTTATTCTTCATTTTGGTATAGCCCTGTGAGCCATTCGGCTCTTGAATCGAGTGCAACCACAACAAACAAAAACAAAAACACGAACAAGAAAAACATCTTGTAGTGACTATGTGTAACTGTGCAAAACAGAAAATCCATGAATAAAAAAAACAGAAAAAAGATTCCTGAAAAAAGCACCGTACACCAACGCCGTGTTGCAAAAAATCCCAGTGGGATGCAAGTCAAACAACAACAACAACCACAAGACAACTTAGATTAAGGCCATCAGTCTAACTCCGTACTACAACAAAACAAGCATGTCAAAACCAAAAAACTTTTCGAAATCACCAAAAATAAAGCCATAATTGCAACGTAACAGTGATCATAGACCCTCCCCCCCCTCAAATATGACTTCACAAAGCTCAGCCACCCCCCCCCCCTCCCAAACCATATGTCTACAGTATTTTACTGGTAGGAACGGAGTTGTAAACTGAGTGTACCAGCCTGCAATAGATTAATGTGTCCGTCCGTCCGTCTTTTTTCAATACTTTAACGAAGTAAAATCTCGTGCTGTTGGGTGTAAAATCAGCAATAGACAGCGCAGAGACTTGTCCTACCAGCCCACCCTGCAGGGACCTGTTATAACAATTAGTGGTATAAACATTTCTTCTATATCAAATTTTGATTTAAAGCTTTCGTGACTGCAGTGATTCATATGCTTGGCTCTTTCGGTAAAGTCACGTTGAAGGGAAACAATAAAATAATAAAAATATATAGAAATATATATAATAAAAATATATAGAAATATATATAATAAAAAAATATATTATTTTATTGTTTCCCTTCAACGTGACTTTACCGAAAGAACCAAGAATAATTCTCTATTAATTTAAAGTTGCGCATTTTGATGTGACGTCACATTTCTCACACCCCACCCCCACTAGGTGCGTGACGTCATTTATGGACGGCCCCTTTGCCGTTCCCCCTACGAAGACGCCGGAGGAACCGCATCAGAACATCAACCAGATCTAGTAATAGGTTTTACCCTTTTAACTGGCACAAATCAACCAGATCGATGCGCATACATCCTCCGTGGTGATGTCGTGGCCATGCAACCCCCCAACGTATGGTCAACCCACCGTGGCCTGCGCTCCTCCAACGGAGGAGGAGTAAGAGCGAAGCTCCACCAACTCTTCACTCCTGAAGCCCTCTCTCGGCGTGGCCAGCAGACTTCAACACAGCTGCTAAACGTATCGCCACGTACACGAATAGAGAAGTTGTCATACCCGTCAAACCCATGATCAGCGCCGAACTTATTACAGATCAACTCGGAACATATTGGTGACCCCGTGACCTTATAAAATCTCAAAGTTCATCCTTCGAAAGTCCCATCGCAAGGGAGAAACACAAACAAAATAGACAAACGATATTATTTTTTGCCCGTATTGAAACGGCTGTACGCCGCATGGACCTGAAACACTCAATTTTCGTCAACACTGTGGCCTTAAAATGAAATGTGTGTGACAGTCGACGTTTTGGGCAATGATCCTTCTTCAAAGCACATAAATATATATTTTTGGAGGCGGGGGGGGATTCTTTCTACGCATCCTGATTGGGAAATATAACAACTCTCCTGATCGAATGCGTATCCATACTAGTAAATCTTTTTGAGCCGCGTTGCGCATCCAAACTGAGAAATGCAACAAGGCACCGACCCTCCGTTGCGCATCAAGACTGGGAAATGCAACACATCGCCGAGCTCCGTTGCGCCGCATCCAGTATAGGAAATCGAAAACTCCGCCGCTCACGCGCCCATGCAGACTGGGAAATGTAATCGGGTTACCCCGAGCCCCTGCCTCCGGAGCCCGGGAAACCCCTGCGCAGGGCCCGGGCCCCCGTCCGCAACAATGAGCGATACAAGACGGCGGGTGAAGTTGTACGCGCTCAACGAAGACCGGCAGTGGGACGACCGGGGCACTGGCCACGTCTCGTCGTCCTACGTCGAGAAGCTCAAGGGCATGTCGTTGCTCGTGCGCGCCGAGTCTGACGGTGAGCTCGACTGAGGAGTAAGCCCGAGACGAGGGGTGGGGGGGGGGGGGCAAGAAGTAGGCCGAAGCCTCGTGTTGGCCTAAATGCTCTGCGGGGTTTTGAGCGAGGAGGGCCGACTGGCCGGGCAGGCCTTGAAACTCTTTCCCCCCCCTCCCCCTTTTCTCCTCAGTCTGTTTGCTCTTCTCTTACGTTTATATTTAACTGCGCGATAAAATTATAATAACGGTTATCGTAGTGATGGTTGAAAAGATGTGTAGATTGTAGGGGCGCTTATTTGTTTATTTTGAAAGCTCGGAGTGTCGCGCGTGTTGATGATGGCCGTGACGTTTGTAGTGGCATCTCGTGCACACGGTGTGATCGTGAATTACAGCGTATAAAACATACACAACGATCCTACTGATTGTTTCGAGACCCTCACGAGCATGAAATCACCGCCCACACCAGAAGTAAACAGTCTGAATGTATAATCGGCGTGAGATGTAGAACGTAATTGGCACCCCGGAAGCTGAGCAGATATCCATCGCGAGCGTTAAGTTGAGCAGTTGCCTCAAATGCCCCTCGGCAAGTTTCAAAAGATGACGAATCTCGGCGGACTCTCCTCGGGGTTAAATGGAAGGGAAGCTTTGTTTTGAAGAACCACTCGGCGCTACGCGCACGCGAGCCCAGCGTGCGAGCGACGGAGTAAACAACACGAGTTCGTTTGCAGATAAAATATGACAGTACGGTACTTGATGGTTTACCACCACCACCACAACTGCTGTAAATGTGAAGTGATAAATAAGCATCAGATGAAGATCCGTGTCAGCGCCAAAATATAATAAATACAACGTTTGGGTTCGTCAACCTGATATGTATCCCTTAAGCCTGCTAAAAGTTTTGGGACGTTCAAAGTTTGATATCAGAATACTTCGTGTTAATGATTGAACCCTTGCGATCTGTATGTCAAGAGGCTAGCACAACTATTGTAACTGGTCCACTTGAGGATTTAAGATGTCTTGTGGTGCCTAACAGTGTTAATTTTGTGTTGCAGGGTCTGTGCTACTGGAATCGAAAATTAAGCCCAACACGGCTTATCAAAAGCAGCAGGTATGCAGATCACAATATGTTGGAATATTGTCCACCCTGGAGTAATGTCGATAAGCTTGATTAATAATAACGTACAGCCTATTGGCAATCCACCGTTAGATAAAGCCCTCCTCACGCCGCGTGAGTCATGGGGGTTGTTTGGTCATTCCTGGCCATGCCGGTTAGTGCAGTATGGTTGAGGGCTGCCCAGGAAAATATCACTCGCCACTGAAGTTAACCATGGTTGAGATTCAAACTTAGGTCGCAAGATTCATAGTTAAGTTTTCTAACAAATGTGCTACGGATTCCAGCCCTGCATTAATAGAGCAATTTAAATGTAAGCAACCTTATTCTACGAAAACAGACATTTTTGTTGTTGTTGGATTGTAACGTCAATTTAAAATAAAATAAATTGACGTGCTTTCTGAAGTTTCGTGAAATGTGTGTACATCGAATACGTTAAGCGTATAGTGTTTTGTGAAATGTATGGTTTGATGGTCTTTTTGTTTACCCTACTAGGACACACTCATCGTGTGGTCTGAAGCAGAAAACTACGACTTGGCTCTCAGTTTCCAGGAGAAAGCTGGCTGTGATGAAATATGGGAGAAAATCTGCCAGGTGTGATTTTAATAATCTTTTTGTCGTTGAACCATCGGTCCTTTTTTACTTTAAAACAAATAAACCAATTATGCGTAATTGATGTGACCAACATGTGTTCATTTAAACTGGAAAATGTGGCTTATTCCAGCTGGGAAACTTCAACTTATTTGTATGACAGACTTGCGATGCACTAAAAGATGTGTCCCCAGTGTAAATATAGCGGTTCTATTTGAAGTAACTACAGAAGTAGTTATCTGACGCCTTCTTTCAGTGCCTTTATCGGACACAGGGGAATGCACTGCTAGCTGTCAAAGTCCTGACTGGGATATTATTTATCTCGTGACACGAGGTCCCATAGCATAATTTAAATACAGTTACATAAAAAAAGCATAGTAAAGGTTTTTTTCAATTAAAACATTGAAATCTTAAAACATACGTTCAACAAGCGCTCAGTGATTTAATGAATAAACCAAAGTTATTACAACATTACTACTATAATGAGCCAATAATGTTTGTGCGTAATGCGCGTGACGTCACTCCACATGCTGTACTCCCTCCCCCGTCATTAATATTCATGAGCAGGCGGATTTTTACACTCGCGTAGAAGGTCGAGCGGAAATATTTTTTTTCGCAAATTCGCTTTAAGTTTGACGTTTCTTTATTGAAAGTGAATCGAATAAATAATTATACGCAGCAACAAAGTGGATTTGGTGTCTTTATTTATGCTTCTACATTAAGGTAAAATAGACATTTCTCGGTGATTTTCCAGATATTGTATCGAATTCCAATTTATTTCAACCCCAGCGACCGAAAGCAGAAGAGAATAAAGTATCAGAGCAGTGAATTTTAACAAATTGAAGGTCAATTGGATACAGTGCTACAGTGACATGAAGTGTTTGATTATAATACTTTTGTGTAACATTCACTGCCATCAAATTTACACAAGAATTATGCTCAATTTTTTTGTAAATATTACAGCTTCCGTCGAGGATGGATTTGGAAAGCGTGTTGGAGGTAGATAGAAAGAAATGGTGACCATATATTTCAAAAGGTTAAAAGCATCCTTTGTAACATATAATAGGAATGTCAGACAGACTCATTCGGTTTCTAATGGTTGATGAGCACACAAAGGCCCACAATGTTAAGTACTCAACAAAAAACAGTACTATGGAAGTTCTAATAAATAAAAGTTAACACATGTATAGAATTGAGCAAGGTTGTTAAAATAACTTGGGAAAAGATCCGATGACGGTTTCTAATGGTTGATGAGCACACAAAGGCCCACAATGTTAAGTACTCAACAAAAAACAGTACTATGGAAGTTCTAATAAATAAAAGTTAACACATGTATAGAATTGAGCAAGGTTGTTAAAATAACTTGGGAAAAGATCCGATGACGCTTGAGGGAATTCTAAAGGGGAGTAGTGCGAGGGAAGAAGCAGAAAAAGCATGACGGTTAAACACGTATGGACGAGACAAAACAGTCCTGGTAGACTAATTCCTGCGTTGCAGAATCAATGCGCGAAGCTCATGGAAACTGAAACCACGGCAGCAGTGAATGATGAGGACAGCGAGTTGGCAGTCGTTCCTGTGCAGCGGCGTTGGCGTTAACGAAGGGACGTGTTTGCCGCCATGGCGTTGACGCAGGTGCAGGGGAAGGACCCCTCGGTGGACATCACCCAGGACCTCCTGGACGAGTCGGAGGAGGAACGCTACGACGACATGCCCGAGGCGGCGCCCGCGGTGGAGCTGCCCCCGTGCGAGCTGGGCCGGCTCGTCGACATCGCCGAGCTCGTGTCCACGTCGCTGGCCATGCCCGTGCGACGCGAGAAGCTCATGCTCGTGCTCGAGACGGAGGGCTACATCAAGAAGCTCCTGGAGCTCTTCCACATGTGCGAGGATCTGGAGAATACCGACGGCCTCCACCACCTCTTCCAGATCTTCAAGGGCATATTTTTGCTCAACAGCACGGCCATCTTTGAGGTGATGCTGTCAGACAGCTGCGTGATGGACGTTGTTGGCTGCTTGGAGTACGACCCCTCGCTCCCGGAGCCCAAGAGGCACCGGGACTTTCTGAACACGACCGCCAGGTTCAAGGAGGTCATCCCCATCTGTGACCCCGAGCTGAAGCAAAAGATCCACCAGACGTACCGGGCGCAGTACATCCAGGACGTCATTTTGCCGACGCCGTCGCTTTTCGAGGAGAACCTCGTGTCCTGTCTCAGTTCGTACATTTTCTTCAACAAAGTGGACATTGTAAAGCTTCTCCAGGTTTGTGTTTCCACGTCTCTATGCCGTTATCGCACCGATGCGTTTCTTGCGACGCGACGCAATAGAGAGATCTATGCTTTTTTCTTGTTGGTTCTTTCGGTAAAGTCACGTAGAATGGAAATAAAATAATAAAAATAAAACATAATAAAATACATTTCCATTCTACGTGACTTTACCGAAAGAACCAAGAAGATGAATCCCTGCAGTCACGAAAGCTTTAAATCGAGATCTGCGCTTGTTATTATTTCGCGATTGTTTCTCCATTGTGTTTTGCGCTTAACATCTTCAATACAAAACCGCAATAGAACTTTTATTTCATGCCCAACGGTTTTTTGCCAGGAAGATGAAAAGTACCTTACAGAGCTGTTTGCACAGCTGACAGACGAGGCCACTGATGATGAGAAGAGGAGAGAGCTGGTAGGGTTATCTGGCCTTGTACTCTTTTATTTCCTTCACTTTAAGTAACCATGCATAAATTACATGGAATATACATTGCACTAACTATATAAGGAGGTGTTGAAACACATACGTTTTAATTCCAATTGTTTGGTGTGGGTGGGATGAAATTATAATATATTTGTGATTACTATGAACACACAATCATTTCTGTTACTCTTCTAACACCTTTGATCAATGCCCCTAATTTCCGGGCTTACATATTTGACCTTGTGAAAATAATTAAGTTAAATTATTGGCGAGAGAGAGAAAATACAATGGAAAAGAATAATGTACTGTGCACGTATTTTTAAGTAAATTTTCTCGTACCGTACATGGACGAAACGCTAGTCTCACTGTTGACTCGGAGTCCCTTTGCAGTTTTATTAATGGACGACAACGGGCATTGTTTGTTATTGCAGGTAAACTTTTTAAAAGAGTTTTGCGCGTTCTCGCAAACGCTTCAACCTCAGGATAGGGACAACTTCTTTAAGGCCCTGTCCTGTCTGGGCATCCTGCCGGCCCTGGAGGTGGTGTTGGTGAGCACTTTAACATTCTCCACACGTCACACTTTCATTACCAGCCCTGCACATTCACCTGAACGAACATGTGCTATGAATAAGGACCGTTGTCCAAAACGTCGCCTATTATATGTTTTCCCCCCATAATATATTTGTATATAGTGTTATGTACGAATGTGTTGTGATATTTGTTCAGAATCGGAATATGTATTTATCCTGGAGGAATCTGATGAGCTATTTAGCTCTTTTCACAGATGTCCAGTAGATTATTTCGTGCCTGCCAATGCAATCTCGCCAAATAATATGTTAAGTTTTGAAATGAACGAGAATCTCAAACTATGGCCAAAATCACCCAAATTGTGCCCGATCAGATTTCAGAAACTAAGCAGGTTTGAGCTTGGGCAGCGATTTGATGGGTGACCACCATATTTTATGCAGAGTTGCTTGTTAGACAGCAGAGGGCACTAAAGCAGCAAAATTGTTTTTTTGGTACCTTTATGCTACCAGGCCTTCACCAATCCATACTGACCATCGTGAAGTATGGTCAAATAACCCCCGTGACCTGCGTGGCATGTGGAGACTCTCATCCAGCAGTGGATTAACCACAGAGCTGTAAATGTTCGCATGAGAATGAACGACAACACATTTTATTGTACGTGATAATTGTTGGAATTAATTCTCCTGCTTCCAATTGGAATCTCGGCGGCAGCTCTCTCTTTGTATGTATGCTGAACTTCTTTCGCAGCTTGTTCCCTCTCGGGTACGTACGATGTGCACTCGTTCGCTAAACGTGTTTTTTTCCCCCCCCCACCCTCCCCCGTGCACGCGCTCGCTCGCTTCCCTTAGGGGATGGACGACGCCCAGGTGCGCAACGCCGCCACGGACATCTTCTCGTACATCGTGGAGTACAGCCCGTCGATGGTGCGCGAGTTCGTCGTCCAGGAGGCGCTACAGAACGACGATGTGAGCCTCCCCAACGCTTCCCCCGGCATCGTGCTCCGGGGGGGGGCCACGGTGCCCATTGTTGTCCGTTGCTCGCAGCCCCATAGTCGGTCTGCTGTCGCATGAAGGCCCTGCCCCCCCCCGCGCCGTGTCGGTCATCGGGGGTTGTTTTGACCGTAATTCACCACGAGCTGGTCACTGTGGGTCGGTGAAGGAACGGTGGCGTTGTTTGGGGGTGGGTGCCCAGGACCGGTTTAGGTGTCGCTCGCCACTGATGTTGGTCGTGGTCGGTATTTCGGTCGGCTGGTTACGTTTCTGGGTCCGCCGTGGTGCTCGGTCAACTTGTGAAGCGTGTCTGTGCCTGAGCGATCCGTTTGTACAACCAAATCACTGAGCGGGTCGATTCTTGAAAGCAGAGTCTGTGCCTACTCTGAGCAACCGGTTGTAGAACTACTCACAACTGGTTGCAGAGGCATCCACATATAAGCAATTCAATTGCTTGCGACTTGATTTCTCAGGTTTGAACCTGTATTGACACCATGAAAGGTTTCCTGTTACCCTGTCTTAGCTGTGCCAGTTTTTTCAATTGCTGATGTAAGAGAACAAGTAAATTAATATTTGTTCCTACCAATATGTGAAACGATGCTCACGATCACAATTTGTGATTACCACCTTATGTATCCCTTGCTTTAATTCCCTTTCTGTGGAGTTGACCACGTACTTAATGTGTTAAAATGCACTGTGCCTATTGACAACATTTCCTCTTGCGTGTGCGATTATGGCACGGCCGAGTGTGGTAGCGCATTAGCCACTGTGACTGTGAAACGTAGCGTTTTCCTTCGTGATGATAGCCACGCGCTATAAGAATGGCACGAATACTAAATGGAATAACACAGGGGGTCTGCAATCTGCGGCTCCGGAGCCGCATGCTTCGTGATGTTATTCAGATGCATTGCGGCCCTTGAAATATTGAGTCTTTACCCAATTTGAAGGAAAAAAAATGGCGCTTGTTATTTTGGTTACAGACCGCTGGACCAACTTATATTCATTACGTTCGTTTTGTTTTTTCAGGACATCCTGCTCATAAACCTGATCATTGAACAGATGATCTGTGACACAGACCCAGAGCTGGGCGGAGCGGTGCAGCTCGTGGCGTTGCTCAGGACGCTCATCGACCCCGAGAACATGCTCGCCACAGCAAATGTGCGTCGCCCGCGCCGTTAGCACCCCTCGAGATGCTCGGTTTGCCGCAGCGGTCCGCGTGTGGAGGGCGGCCTCCCGTGCGCGTTCTAACCGACGCTGGCGTGAACGGAGAGGGTGCGACGCGTGTCGAAGGAGACACGCGTCGTTGTTAGACCGCACGCCGTTGCCCTCGCCTTTGGCTTAGGTCTTGTGATTGGCTGGTGGTGGCGTTGATGTTGGTAGGTGGGGGGGGTGATGATGGTGATTGTGGTCATGGTGTCGGCGGTGCTGGTGGTGGTGATAGTGATGGCGATGGATGTGGTCCTGGTGATTGTGGTGGTGGTTGCCAAAACGCAGCAAGTTGGCACAGTGGGGAGCATAGGTGGTGCATTTGCCAGTGTTTTCAGTCCATACACCGGGGTCTGTTCCATGACCTCCTGCCAGAGAGCCTTCTACACTTCATGTGGCTTGAAAAGTGCACCTAGCCTGGCACAGGTGTTGTGGTGACATCACAACTAGTTAGTGATGAATGGCACCTCTTGATGGTGGGTCGCTGGGTTTACGGTGTATCAGAAGGTGCACCAACCAACCATAAATGATCATCTGGATGCGGCGTGTGAACATAACCACTGGGGATACAAAGGTGGTCGGGCATGGTGCTGACCACACCCAACCCCCTCTTGTGTAGTGCCAGCCTTAATAGGCGTTTGCTGACAGGACCAGGCATTAACGGTCTATGTTGGGGGGGCACTTGTATTTGATAGCGTTTGGTGGTGGCTTCCGCAAGGACCAAGGTTTGACGGAGGGAATTATTTTTGTTTCTCCAGAAAACCGAGAAAACGGAGTTTCTGAGCTTCTTCTACAAACACTGCATGCACGTGCTCACCGCGCCCCTCCTGGCAAACACTGCCGAGGACAAGCCGGGGAAAGGTCAGGAGCGCTGGACACCCCTCGGCAAAGACAACACAATACAACTTGTATTCACGTAGCATCTAAATGCAACCGCATCTGAAGGTGCTTTAAAAAGTTGCGCTGTAGCTCATTTCAATCTTTTTTTTTATAGTTCATTTCCCGTTGAGTCATTTTTTTTTAAACGGTTGCTTAACACAAGCCCACAGGCCTACAACGTTAGAATGGCGAGCGTTAAATGGCACCGTATTTGTTGTAATGGTAAGAGTGTAACACGTCTCTTGAGTTGAGCAAGGTCATAAGAGCTTGGGAAAAGAGAGACGATGACAGGAGATAGAGGGAATTGTAAAGTGGAGCAGTGCGGGGGAAGAAGCAGAAAGAGAGGACTTGTGACTTGTGGTGAGTGGGTGGGTGGGCGAGTGGGTGAGTGATGTGTGAACTATCGTGTGATGAGTCCACAAGGTCGGTGGAGGAATCAATGAGAGAAGTTTCACGGGAACATCAATCATGGGTAGTAGCCATAAAATATTGATGAGGACACGATGGCGATGTCATCAACAAATAAGGATAGTGATGGTTGTCACAGTACAACCGTGCATTGCGAAGATTAGACTTGTGGCAATGTTCCCTGCATAATGATTTGACGAATCGTCACTCCAGGTCGGGATTCGACTTGTAAATGAACTCTTTATTTTAATTTGTTCCATCTGTCTTCATTCATTGGGACACGTTCCATTAACTTAAGGACAATATTTGTAGAAAACTTACATAAATCATACACCGCATTACAAGCAGAATTAATGTGATATCGGGGTAAGAATGAATTTGAATATTTTTATTCTATGCGCCTATTGAGTGTGCTCTTGTCATTTATACAAGCCTTTTTTATTTTTGTCCTCCGTTTATCATGTTGTTAATGATTAAATACATATGTAAATACTTGTCAGTGACCCGGATGGTGTGGTGGGCACTGAGTTCACCACTGAGTTCCTGGGTTAAAATCATGAACTCAACTGACCGTGGTTAGACCAGGCTCTCAGTTGTAGCAAGCTGACAGTCACCGGTAACTGAATGTCAATTTGACGGTCATGTGACGAACATGACTGTGTGGCAGGCAGGGTGTGGGGAAAAGTGCTGCCCCAATAAGTGTGGACCAGAGATCACTTGAATGGATCTCGGTGGTGGTACCCCTGCGATATCCACTTCTGTGGGCCATTTTATAGCACAAAGGGTTGCACTCTTCCGCGAGAGATTCGACTCCTACGCTGGCAACATGTGAAGTTAATTGTGCGTGATGAAGTGCTTTGGGATTTATGGACGTTTAAGTACAAATGTGACCAAATCAATGAGATGGAGCGCACAAAACAAAATAAATAGTTAATTTCTGAATCGACATGACACCGCTAACACCATCGGGTACGCAGCCGTTAGTCGATCGGCAGGTCGTCGAGCGTGGTGGGGTAAAGTGTGGGTACTGAAGGAACATTCCGGATGCAATTGTGGGAGGGGAGAGGAGGAAAACAAGTTCTCTAAAACACGTTGCTGAGCCTGCCTCGGCTGTCCCCGTGCTCCGCAGTAAGTGAGAAATTCCTCCCTGCAGACGACTTCCAGACGGCGCAGCTGCTGTCGCTCACGCTGGAGCTGCTCACGTTCTGCGTGGAGCACCACACGTACCACATCAAGAACTACATCATGAACAAGGACCTGCTGCGCAGGGTGCTGGTGCTCATGAACTCGAGGCACTCCTTCCTTGCTCTCTGTACGTGTGCCCGGCAGTAAAAAAAAAAACCCCCAATAACGATCCGTTCACCCACACGGGATACAAATGGTGAAATGAATCAACTGTGTTGATGCTTTGGCCCTTGTGGCGGCGTGTAGCCGCCTGTTGCGTAATCGTTTGGCCGTCATTCGATACGAAGGAATTTGAAATTGAAAGCGTTGGAATGCAGTTAAAATAATCGCAACAAGCGCGGCTCTCATTGCGCGTTTATTTGCGTCATGCTCTGTTGCAGTTTTTATTTTGTGGTTTAATTTCGATGTTTATTTTTTGTTAAAGGGGCCACCGGGCTAGGTTTTGTTTTCTCTTAAGAAGGATGTCTGTCCCATATGTTTGTCCGAGGACGCTTCACACGTCACGAAAACTACAAAATCCCCGAACCCAATCGTTACGAAATACCTACATTTCCTTTTTGGTACGAATGACAACAAGATACTTAGAAAAAAACTAGAAGTATTTTTTGTAAAAAAAAAGACTAAAAACCTGCTACTGTTTCCTGGTGAATCAGCGCAATTGGTGTGGGTGCGTGCGTTAGGACACTCGGCCGTGTGGTTGTGCAAGGACAGGTCAAATGTGTGCCTCGACATCTCTCCGTTACCCGTCCACACGTTTGTATATACAACCAAGCGGAGGCCCCACTGAGTCTACCCGCTTGCCGACTTCTTGAGGAATCTGTCAAAAAGCTCAACACATCGGTCAATAACGCTGTGTGGAAGAGTATCTAATCGTCGACATTTAGTGCAGTGGCCCTTTCGTCGTAGCCCATGTGTATTGAAGTCGGGCTCCCTCCGGCATCTCTGTTTATGTGCTATGAAGAAGGTCGAATGTCCGAAACGTCGCCTATTATATACCTTGTAAGGCCACAGTGTCATTGATGAATGTGAGTTTTGTAGTTAATGTTTGTGCTTGTGCACCACTGACCAAGGCGCATTGCCAAATAACTTAATATCTGCCAAGGCGGACTGTGTGCGTGTTCATTTTCCAGAACGTTCTGGCACTGTTGATCCCTTAGGTGAATTCACGCAACCCCCATAATATGAGCTTGTGTTGCTGTCGTGCCGTGTACAGGCAGAGATGGACAAAATACATCCAAAAATACTGGAGTAATGTAATGAAAATACAAATTGTCATTCGCTTTGACGTGTGTCATTTAGATATAAGTTACAAATTACAATAACATTGCATATTTAAATTACATGTCCTTCGATTTGTACTTGACATTCACCCTGATTTATGTTTGAATTCTCACCTGGTTAAACAAAATAAACGTGACCTTGTACGTGACCGTGTACTTGAACACTGCTCATAACATGCAGGCGCGCTGAGGTTCATGAGGAGGATAGTGGGCATGAAGGACGAGCTGTACAATCGTTACATCATCAAGGGCAACCTCTTCGATCCGGTCGTCCGGGCCTTTCTGAACAACGGCTCGCGCTACAACCTCCTTAACTCCGCAGTGATTGAGCTGTTCGACTTCATCAGGACGGTGGGTGACTTCGACACAGTGAGTCCCGCAATTCTGTCGATGAAACGCTCCACCCTTCCCTCGGCCCTGGCGCTTAGACTTTGGTAACTCGCCCATGGATTAGTCTTCAAACGTAGTCCCATGGCTTTTTAGATCGCCGCCTTTTAAGGACTTCCGACGTCGAGGCTCTGTTTCTGGGGTGACCGGGCTTTTGTGAGCGCAACTCCTAGAGTGTGGGTGAACACTTTGACTTTGGTAATCGGGCAATCCAGGGTTATTTAAATCTGTCTCGAAAACTTGCCTTTAAATTGGCCTAAAGCTCACGAGTTCTGATCATTTGCCCTGGTTCTATTTTATTTTCTGTTTTTCACGCAAGGCATGTTTGGATCTACGGTTGACATGCGCCATACAAATTTAAGTAATTACTATTATTAAGGTAATATCGGCAATTAATTAAACACGATGATGAATGCTCGTTTCGAAAGCATCACGGAATCCGCATGCACGCGCGTGGTTTGCCATCTTCGTTTATTCCGGCAGGAGGACATGAAGCCTCTCATAATGCACATAGTGGAGAACTTCTACAAAGGCTTCGAGGACATCGATTATGTGAACACCTTCAAGGGACTCAAGATGCGCTACGAACAGGAGAGGGATCGAATGGAGACGCCCAAGGCGGACAGGTGAGCGAGACCAACGTCGCCAACGTCGCCAACGTCGCGACGCCTCCGCGGGCAGTGGTGCGGTTGGCCCAGCGGTAGCGTGTTCGTCGCTCGTCGCTACACAGTTTCGCGGCTGGAATCTGGCGTCCGCCCTAACTATTCCTGCGGCGGTATTGCCCGTGAAAATATTACGCGCAGTCTGCTTCACGCACGGGAGGGGGGGGGGGGAGGTCAAAGATCCCCCGACGTCATTCGCAAGAGTAAGGCCATCGTGTGGCGGCGTCGTCGTTGACATTTGTGTCGAATTACTAAAATTACCCCGCAAATTACTTAATTGGGATTATGCACAGGTGTCATCGCCCCCCCCTACTGGCAGCGATGCACAGTATTCGCTCGCCGTTGAAGAGCGAGAACACCTCCAGAGGCGCGAGGAACCAGACGGGCAGCAGCCAGGTGGTGAGGTGGCACCAACAAATGGCCAAGTTCCTGCGGCCCTCTATATGTTAAGATGTTGGTGGCCAATTAATGAGTGTTTACATGTAGCATGAAACTGGAGCGTCCGGTGAAAACCCACGCACTCTTTCTCATGCAGAGGGCGCATGTGTAGCACATTTTTGTGGTGCCTCCTTTTACTGGCAAGTCATGTTGCGGCGCCTCCTGGACACCCGCGGGCAGGACATTTTGCAGTGTGTGATCCACCAACCCTCTCCACAGTGCTGGATTAGAGCCCACGTGCATAGCCACCACGGCCCGACGAGCAACAATGACCAGCAGCACGATGAGTTGCGTCCTCCGGAGCGAGAGGGAAAGCGTGTGTTTCCCGTGTTGCCCAGCACAACGCCGCTTCTGCGCAACCACCGGTTCCGGAGAGACATGCGTACCCTGGAGGAGGAAGAGGAGATCTGGTTTGACGACGAAGACGAGGTGGAGGACGAGGAAGCGGTCGTTCCTCCGTCGGAGAAGACCAAGAGCGAAGAGGACTTCATCGACCACCTCGGGAAGTTCATAGAGAGGAAAAAAGGTAAACCTCCGTGCGCCAACTGCATTTACACCACAGAAGTTCAGAATCAGAATATGTATTCCTACTGAAGGAATCTGATGAGCTATTAAGCTATTTTTCACGGATGTCCTTGTGTGGTACACATGAGCTTAAAGGCTCGAGCTTGTATTCTGTTTATATTATTGGGGAAGGATCTGTTAGCAAGCACCTTTTTAAAGTTGGACTTACACAAAGGCGATCAGTGGGTCCGGTTACTAGAATTGTACCAATATTTTCCCGCTAGTACTACATTGACTGGGGGAATTATTGCGTAATCATTAGCGCACTACACAATGAACCTAGCAATCCAAGTTTGATCCCTGACCACGACCAATATCAGGATCGAGTGATGTCTGAACTGTTCCCGGGCAGCAATATCACTATACATGTGTTGTGGCTTCTAAATAGGTGCACACCGAGTCTTGGAGGCAACACGTTTATTTACTAGTACAACTCGAACCGGCTAACATAACAGATAACTGCGCAACGCTCCAAGGTTAACTCTGTACATCACGGGTTAACTATGTACATTACGGGTTAACTACATAGGGTGGTGGCCAACGCTCCTAACCACCTAATCATTTGAACGGGATCACTTTATGGTTGGACCAGCACAGGTAACACGCTGCCCGGCCCTCGTGCGCGTAGACCGAAGAGCGAGGATCGAAGAAGACGACTTCATTCCCAGGTCGAACAGCCCAGCTCCCTCTCGGAACTGGGCTTATATCCGCTGCGGCGTGACCGGGGTCCGCCCCTGGCCACGCCCCCTTCTAGATCCTTCGTGGAGGCTCTCGGTCCATACCACGTGGCTCCCTCACCCCCTTCTGGGCGGTCCCCGTGCCCCCTCGTCCAGTCACGTGCTCTCGCGGGTTCTCACGCAGGCTGTCATGTCCTGACCCGACCTCCGTGACACCCGGACCCTGCCCTCTAGTGAGCCCCTTAATGCAGTGCACACACCGGTGCCATAGAACGGCACCCCGCGTACAGTAACACTCTTCCCTCGATACTGTCGTTTCACTGTAGTGATACCATTTATGTCGCTACACATGTACTGACCGGCTTGGTGAAATATGGTGAATGAACACCCACAACCGACGTGCCGTGTACAGTCTGTTAAAGGCTACACGGGGGACCTTTACCTTTTCTGCCGCAAGCAGCCAAGGACAATGAGGACACGGATCTGCTCGCCAAACCTTCCGTCGCGCCGGCAGCTCTGGGCACCAAGCCCGAGTCGCCGGTGCTAAAGCTGTCGCTGTCCGTGAACGCCGCTCCCTCGGCCGGTCTGGGCCCAATGCTGGGCCTGAGCCTGAGTCCTAGTGCCAGTGGCGCTGGTGGCAGCGCCGGTGGTGGTGGCAGCAGCGGGGTCACGACGGCGCTCTGCTCCGAGAAGCCGTTATCCCCGCTGGGCGGCTCCTGCAGCGGCACCGTCGGAGGGGGGGCACTGTCGCCCACGGCGCCGCTCAGCCCAGCCTCTCCCGGCGCCGTCTCTAGCAGCGTCGCAACCATCTCCATCAGCGCCAAGGTGCGGTGAGCTGTGGCTACTTGGAGCTCGGAGGTCAGGGATGCTGAGCTGGCACCGCCAAGATCCTGGGTTCGAATGCATCGTTTCATGTAGTACCCTGTGCTTAAAGCGGGTCTCGGCCCGGTCACGGATGATTGACATACAGACCCACAGACTTACACAGTAACCCGTAGGCTCGCACAGAGATACATAGACTCGCACAGACCCAAAACTCGCATGGAGACCCAATGTCAGGCTTAGTGACCCATAGGCTCGCACAGTTTTGATTATACATGGTTATTTACGGATCAGATTTGCACAGTGGCCTATAGATGAACGTAGAAGGGGTGTGCATTGTTTCGTGAGCAGTACAACGTGGAGTATCCGACTCGCTGGGGCCTGCGTTGTATGTAAATTTGTGACGAGGTCAGATATGTGAACATCTGTAGAAAATTATAAATATACACCACGCACAAATACGACACATACTCGGGCAGTTATTTGGTCAGGGTGGATATATAACGGTGGGATATGCGACGTTCTCCTGTACCTGATGTGGAGTGCATAAGAATAGACTTTTGTCATATCAACCCAGGAGCAGATAAAACCATTAACGTAACGAAACTGTGTTGCATTTGGGCCAATCGCCGTGTCTCCTTTGTGCAGCGCGGCCTTGTGGGGCTGGTGGATTACCCCGACGACGAGGACGACGAAGAGGAGGAGGAGGAGGACGACGACGAGGAGGAGGTGAACGAGACACCGCCGTCTAAGAGAGCGCGCCTGGAGTCGTAGACTTGGCTGCCACCCACAAACTCTCCCGTGGGGGTGGTGGGGGCCTGGCGGGGGGGGTGGCTACCATCGCAGATGCGGGGAGCGCCTCCGCAAGGGCCGCCTGCCCGCCCCCCGCTCTCGGACACGACGGCCGAGCGCGGTGCCGGTGCGCCCGCCACAATCTATTGCCAAGTGTCCCCCACGGGGATTGTTTCACAGCCGTCCGTCCACCAAGCCCAGCCAGAGGTTTCGCCGTTCCTGGTCTTGTCCTAATTGTCGTTGTCATCGTCGTCGTCGTCGTCGTTTTTTTCCCCCCCTCCGACTGGCGTGAACGTCCGCGTGACGCCGCTGCTTGGCCCGGGAATTCCAGCCGCAGGCCCCCGACTGGCGGCGCTGCTTGCTGCCGCTGGCGGGCCGCGTGCCAAGACGTTCAGCGGCGGGGGTGCGGTGGGCAGCTTGAGGCTGGTCGCTGTTACGGCCGCCTTAGAGCTTCACCGTTCCGCGGTTCTCAAAACTCAGGGGATTAATGTGCGGCATCGTCGACGGCTTCACATTCGACAGACCAGCCTGATAGCTGCGTAGCCTTTCCCTGATTAACACGCAGACAGCCTTCCGCTGCCGTGACTCTCAGACCGTGCGGAACGGTGTTCCGTGTTTTCAGAATCTGATGGGACGATCAGAGTAAACTTTTGCTTCAACCAACAAACAAAGGGGTTTTGCTCTAACCCCCCCCCCCCGTGAAGGATTTTTTTTTTATCGCTCATGGCCCAAAAACTTGAAGCGATATCGGGTTTGAATGTTTTGTGGTCGTACAGGCAAGACCAAGATGTGTGCTTCGGTGGATGTGCGAGCGTGTTGCGGTTTGTTTTTAAAAGGCTTGACGTTCACTGCTCTCACAGCCTCGATAATTGCTGTGGCAATAACTGATTTATAGGCAAGCACACTTTAGGCTACCTCTGAATTTTTTTTTTACTTAAGTGGTGGCCATCATAAAAGGGTTATTTTCCACACGTAAAAGCGGAATGTGTAGAAATTTAGTGTAGTAGCAAGTGTAAGGCTCTCACATATTTGAGGGTTAAATGATTTCTGTTTTTGTAAAACCTACTTCGAATCAACTTATTGCAACAGCTTTTATCTACACTTTGAGCTGAGCGATTGTGAGCCCTCCCCCCCCTCTCCCCCCGACTCTTGAACGCCATCGGCAATGAGATAGCGAGAGAGAGACAAGAGTGAGATGAGCGAGAGAAGAGCTGTGATGGGGGAGAGATGGCCGAAACAGCATTGTCTCGCCGTGAGCGTTGGCCCGGGAAATACCCAGCCCTCTGGGAAGAGGCTCTTTGAGTGTCTTTGCCTGAAGAAAGCTTTGAAAGTTAAGCTGGAAAAATGCCATAAATAAAAGCGAGAGAGAGAGAAAGAGAGCGAAACAAAACTTGTAATCATATTTGGCCTGGTCTCTACGTGCATACAACTTGCATGGGTTTTGGCGGAGTGTTTGCTGAGATGGGAGGCATCGTTTGCCCTGTTGTAATGAAATGTGGAAGCTTGGGGGACCACATATGTCCGTCCACAACTTGGATGGCATTCACTCTTGTCACTTTTACATGGGTGTAAAGTTTCATGTGTTCACATTTATTAATGACACAGTTTGTCTTGTTGCCGTACTATGCCTTGTTATTTTGTTTCGTTTAAATGAGTTAATCGGCGCCGTTAAGATTCTGGTCTGCGTAACGTGTATTCATTGCACAGAAGCAATATGACACATTTGACGTGGGTCGACTGAGAAAATATTTAACCTCTTCAGCAACCGCGCGAGAGGCCAGATAAGAGCTATTGAACCATAGCTCGTCACGTGTTTTTAAAGGGAGGGGAAACACCGTATAATTGAACAGTGTTACAAAAACATAAGTTGTATAAGTAAAACCCATATGTTTATTATCGGCTTGGATGTCTCATTAAATATTGTGTCATCCGGGGCTTAATTTCTCACTGAATATTTTCGGGGTCGCTGGTAGACGACCTGGAGTAGGTGGCACGTGACCAGTAGTCACAGCCCCGACGAGAGGTAACACTGGATATTTGACGCGTAGGATTTTGAAGCCGCTCGTAATCCCAAACGTGGTCTTATTGGGTTCGGCTGCACGTTTTGAGCCCTTTCGTCTGTCCACATTTTGGCGCGAACTACATAACGGGCACCTTCAGGAGCTGAAGTGAAGGACTCTCACCTTGATCTCCACCCTGATTGCACGTTGTCTGAGTTTATCATGAATTATTTGTCCCTGGGCGTGTCCGGGAATTCTCCACGCTTCTCCTGGGAATGTCTGCGTTGTCTGAAACTTGCCAGGGGAACACGCGTGCGCAGGTTAGCGTGTCTGGCAACGTTCTGCAACGGAACGGCCGTTTTCAAGCGACACTCCCCTTCTATCCGCCCTCCCCTTTTTGAGATGAATGTGAGACTCATTATCTCGGCGCCCGCAAGATGCCCGAAAGCCCTCGCGAGAAGAAATGCTCAACAGGTGGCGGACCACGCGCGGGCTTCCTACTGGGTGAGATGTCGTGTGCGGCGAATATATTTGTGGTTGCGAGGAGCCCGTACGAACCTGGCCGAAATTAAGCCCTGGCCTCATCGTCGTCTTTGGAAAAGCAGGACAAGATTGTATTTGCGTGCGTGTGCGCGCGCGTGTGCGGGATGACCCTCCGCGTTCCTGTTTGCGTGCGGCTCGCGTCCCCTCGACGATGTGCGGCATGCTCCCCCGTGACACGTGCTCTGTGTTGGTCGCGTCGACGATGCTCGAATCAGGGGGAAGGAAGGGGGTGGGGTGGGGATGCGCGCGCGCAGGGCTTGTGGGTAAATCGCTTCACACTTGTCCCCCTAACGCTTGTCGATGGCCATGAAAATCAATAACGCCAGTTATTTAAGTCCGACGTGACATTTTCTGCCTTGTTTTTTGACGTTGCATTTAAAATCCATAGCTCGAGACGGCCTAATTTCTGTGTTTTGGTGGAATGGTCATTTCTGCCCATATTTGGTGGGGAGGAAAAAACCCAGCCAATTTGTTGCTATTCAGCCACCAAAGGAAATTCTGCAATGTCCTCTCCGCCGATACATTAATCGTGCCCTGTGGTCTCGTGTTTCATCCGGTTTATAAAATTTTCCGATTCCGTTATTGCATTTGAAGGAACATTTTTTTCTTTCCTACTCCATTGATCACCAAACTGACTCGACCCGTCGGGAGAGAACATTCTCGCGCCCTTTACCAAACACATCGTTGTCGTGCGCCCTCTCGCCCGAGGTCGGCACAGCCACTGCCGCCCACGATTGCCTCGTGCTGTCTCTCCATCGTGGCACCCTCGCGCGTGCAACGTCACCGACTCAACTCAATTCAAAGGATTCACCGCATCGGTGACTTGGAGGCGGGGTAGATCGCCTGGGTTCTGAAATAGGCTTCCACCCCACTCTGGGCAGTTCCTAGCATTAGCCATGCGTCTCCGGACGTCCACCGATGACAGGACCCGTTGATCGAGCGAAAAGTATCCGTCTCTGATGCCATGGATTACCCATAATGCCTTTCTTGGAGGCCTGTGTCGACTGAAAATTGACCGTAAATTTATGTTCATGCACGTGATTTTATTATAAAGATTCTTAGTTTTGTTTGTAGTCATTAAAACTTAATTTTATGTAGTATAGGGCCAGTGTTCGGTTGCAACGTCACCTCTTGTGTTCCCTTTGTCAATCGAAGCAGTGCACGTCCGGGTACAATAAAGTCGCCCGAGGTTCTCCACTTAGTTCAGATTTTACTGCGCGCTCGACGTTTTGTGCTGGGAGCGTCTTCACAAACTGAATCGATTGAGTTGAAGAGAACTGAATTCGGTTCATGAAGGAGCTCCCAGCACGTGGAGCGAAACGTCGGACACGGTGCCGGCCACCACGGTACGACCCTGAAAACGTGTCTGGAGAGCGATGTACGGGTACGGCACAACCGCGTAAACGTGCAGAAGAGTAGGAAGTCACTCGAGGTTTTGATGCAACTGACCACAAATTCGCGTGACGGTATAAACGGACGGCAACATCGCTCTGGGCGAGTCGCAGCATCGGGTGGTGATTGAGACAACGGTGGCTTCCTTTTCACCAAAAGTCGGATGAAAAGCAGCATTGGCCATCGGCACGTGATTTGGGGGGGGGGGTGGGACCCGGTGGAAATTTTGGCTGCGCGCTGGAATGAAACACGAACCGATGTGATCATCCGGTAGCGAAACTGCTCGCCCTGTCCTCTGCCTGGGGTGCGGAGTTGTAGGGGGTGGTCTGGGAGACGGAATAGGAAGAGGGGACCTCCCAAAAAGCAAGCAGCTCTTCTCTTGTAGTTGCACACCTAAGGTTGTATGTCCCAGGCTGCTGGAATTTGATCTTGCTGGTCTCTTAATGAGATGAAAACAATTTGAAATTGGTAAGATGGTGTCCTTGCGGGCTCGCGCCTGTATTCCGCTCGGGTGCTCTTGACTGACATTGTAAATCTTTTAGTCGCCTCCCAAAGCTTGACGCATCCTTTGTAAACTTTTACTACGACCAAATCACCCTGAACCACGCCCGATCTCGGAGGCTGAAGCAGGGTTTGAGGCTGGCTATTACTTGCATGGGAGACTGCCTGGGAATACCATGTGCTCTTACAGGCTTGGGTCACACAGTGGCCAGGAGATGGCAGTACAGCAATGGATTCGTGAATCTACCTGTACGCATCTTTGTTGCCATCATCGGGCACGTTCGACTTCACCAAGTCCTCTCGGTTTGCTCTCGAGTTAAGCCAAACACCGGGTGACGGAATTGACCAAACGCGCAACCTTCGCAGGACCCTTCTGGACGAGTGGTGGAGCTGCCGAGTGTGCAGGCTGCGCAGCTGCACCGGGGCCCCACAAACAGGAGGGGAGTCTCGGGCACCGGGCAATGAAGAGTGAGGGAAGTGGGATGGGGGTGGCTCCCATTGTTTGGTTCCTGGCACCAGTGCCCATGCCAAACTAACTGCGCCACTGCTACAGAGTCTTTGAGTCTTGAGGCTTTCCTGGGTATAGGGCATTATTATTATTATTATGATTCACAAGTCGATCGGTTGGTCGCCTGTGGTGGCATAGCATTTGTAAACTCTCCCCTCCGCCTGTCTATCAGAGACCTTTCTGCCAGCAATGGCGTAAGTCATTACAGGGGCTGCGGCTTTACCGTTGAGTTTGGTTATTGTCATAATCACCATTAGCCTGGGACAGCCTGGGTGTGTTATCTACGGTATAAGAGACGTCATGTTTGTATGGGTTTCTTATTCCTTTACAATGGGGGGGAGGGGGGGTCGTGTCGCGCTCACTCAGTCTGCCTGCGTGGTGTTTACAGTTTTGTATATTGCCAATATCGTCCTCGAGTTTCGGGGGGAGGGGCTAGGTTGGGAGATCTATTTCTTTACTGTCGAGCTAGTTTATGAATAAGAACCATTTATGTTCCAATGTGTGTGTGGAGGGAGGGGAGGGGGGCGATGGAAATTAACAAAGACGAATATTGTCATTTATTGATCATGGTAGTTCAATATTTGTTGTGATTTAAAAGGTTTCTCAAGTTAGACAATAAAGCTGTGGCCCGTGTAGGATTGCCGGCTGGCAGGTGTGTGTGTCCTCTCTCTCAGTCCATCACTCCTCTCAAAAGTCTCCGTTGCTTCAAACGCGAGGTCGTGATCACAGAACCCCCGTTCACGATTTAAGCCTCAGCGGTTTTCAGCCCGTGGGGTCGTGCCCCCATCCCCCTCCTCCTCCCTCTGGAGAAGTGTGAATGGAAATCATTTCAGGCCCTCCCCCAGGCCCCGGCATGGATACCGTGCAGGAGTCGTTTCGATTGTGCGCGTGGTGGTGACATCAGCGCTACGTTGCGGCGACATAACACACTTGATGGATTACGTAACGTGAAGGACGTGTCTTGGTGACACAAAACACGCCGGTAAAACAACGTGAAACACACGACTCGCTAACCTGCAGCCAAGCAAAGGGTTAAGCCTGGCCACTGTAGTAGAGTCCTTGCTTCGGGTCGCTTACCTGCGAGCACCCGCAGAGCGGGTTTTTTTGCTCCTCGTGATTGCTTATCGCGTTTTGCCCGACCCGCACCAGGAGGACGTTCGCTTCTGCAGAAGTGACGTCCGCCCCGCGGAGTTTCGACCCACGTAACAATACACAGGCGTTCAGAGGTCTTAGACCAACAGAAGCTCCGTTGCTCGTCGGCAATAGGAATCGTCAACGTAGACACATTGTGAAGAAATCGTCAACAGACATTGTCAACAGAGACATTGTGAAGACAGATTGTCAATAGATTTGTCGAGAGACATTGGCAACATACATTATCGATAGTCGCAATGGTCAATAGACATCGACAACAGATAAAGAATGCTAATAGATTGTCAATAGACTGAACACGTGCGTTAACAACGCTGAGGCCTTTAAAGTAAATATGTTTAAGGGATGACGTTTTGGGCAGTGACGTTAGCGTCTCCATAGCAAATACAATAGGCCGGAGTTTGGGTGGCTCAAAAATTTGAGACTACCCTTGATACCATTTAGCCGGATTAAAAAAAGTACTTTTAAAGAACGTTAGCTGATTAACAGATTCCCTGGGCTCGATTCTTATTTCAACAGTGTCAGCCATGAGTGGTAGTGGTGGCGAGACTGATAATGTAGACAATATATATGATTACTATTATGATTCGGTTCAACAATATTTACAACAAAAAAACGAGCTCACACATCTTGTAAAGGGAATGTTACAATTCTGGTTTGTTAAGTGAACTTGACCAGCATTGTATAATTTGATGAGACGTGTCGGTGTCATACCTGCTTACGGGGCCCTTGAGACAAACGGCAGGGAGGCTGAACGTGATTCATACTGCTGGGGACTGGGCGCTCAGATGCCGACCTCGCTACAGGCTTACACGCGGGAGGGGAGGGGCAGATGGTCGGGGGGGGGAGGATGGTGGGGAGGGGACGGTGTGGGGGGGGGGTGGTGTGGGGGGGACGGTGTGGGGGGGAGGATGGTGTGAGGGGGGGGGAGGATGGTGTGGGGGGGACGGTGTGGGGGGGAGGACGGTGTGGGAGGACGGTGTGGGGGAGGACGGTGTGGGGGGGACGGTGCGGGGAGGAGGATGGTGTAGGGGGGGGGACGGTGTGGGGGGGGAGGATGGTGGGGAGGGGTGGTGTGGGGGGGAGGATGGTGGGGAGGGGTGGTGTGGGGGGGGATTGGTGGGAGGGACTCAAAATGTTGCAGAGCCAGTTGAGCCGTTCAATGCATTACGATTGTATCCACTGCTGGATCTCCACGTATGTCGACTCAGCCCTAAATAAGTACCCGGCACCGTGTTGTGTGAGGTCCTCTCGTGGCAGGCAGACCTCAACGTTGGCACGTGCTGCCGTCACCCGCGACAATAGAAGAGCGCCGGGAAGACGACGGCGATTGGGCGTCTTTTTTTTCCCTCTCTCACCTCTGCTGCTAAGGCCTTTCGGATGCGCGTTCACATCACCTTGGCCGCAACAGCCTGCAACAAATTTCGATTTAAAGCTTTCGTGACTGCAAGGATTCATCTTCTTTGGTTCTTTCGGTAAAGTCACGTAGAATGAGAATAAAATAATAAATCGATAAAATAAAATAACAATAAAATTCTCACGACGTTACGGCCACAACACACCCGATGAAGGCCGCTTGTGTTGTGGCCGAAACTTCGTGAGAATTTTATTGTGTTATTTTATTTGATCAATTTTTGATTTTAGTCTCATTCTACGTGGTGACTTTACCCAAAGAACCATAGAAGATGAAGCCTGCAACAAGCCTACCCGGGAATAGGGAGGGGTGGGGAATAAGGAGGAGTGGGGAAACTTTGCCTGTGGTGTTGTATTGTGTGTGGGGGGGGGGGTGTGTGGGGGGTGTGGGGGGGGTGGGGGGGTGGCCACGTGGGCTGTTGAAGTGGAAGTATGAAGTACCTCTCTTTGATTACGAGCGTCATCGCGCATCGCCAGCACCAGCGGCGTTCTCGCGGGACCGCCCGCGCCTGTCTCGCTTCGCCCGGACACGCGATTCGGGTCGCTGCCGCAGCGTTTGCGACGGGGGAGTGGAGAGAGAGAGGGGGGGGGGGTAGACTTTGGTTAGCGAAGGCAGCCTTCCTCCGTACGGTCGGCCTATACGAATTAAACGCCACGACGCGTCCGTGTGCGGCACGTGCGCGGTGTGTAAATACGTCGCACACAGAAAAGGAGGGGGGGGGGGTGGAATATTTACGGGGTTGCGTATCATAAACCAACAAGAGGCTCTCAAAGCTGTCGAGAAAGAAGAAGAGATCTGAGTTGATCAGTTCGTCGTGCCTCGAGGTGGATTGCCGTGTTCAAGCCGTCACACCGCCGTCTTCCCGTGGGTGAGCCTCGCTGCTCCTGCTGCTCACCTCGGCACAGTCACGCCGTAAGACGCGCGATGCATTTTCGCACGGCGTTGCGTGGCCTCTCGTTGCGACGAACGATGGCACCCGTAAACCCCCCACCGTTGGGGGAGAACGCGTGGATTAGAGAACGCGCGCGGGGTGATTGACGTTTAAGTCAAACTGTGAAGGAAAGCGAGTTAGTTGGGACAGAGCGCGTCTCTCTTTAATTACAGAAAGATGGTGATGATGATGGTGATGTTGATGATGGTGATGTTGATGATGATGGTGATGTTGATGATGGTGGTGATGATGATGGTAGTGGTGGTGATGATGATGATGGTAGTGGTGGTGATGATGATGATGGTAGTGGTGGTGATGATGGTAGTGGTGATGATGATGGTGGTGGTGATGATGATGATGGTGATGATGATGGTGATGATGATGATGGTGATGATGATGATGGTGGTGATGATGATGGTGGTGGTGATGGTGGTGATGATGGTAAGGATGATGGTGGTGAGGATGATGATGGTGGTGGTGATGATGATGATGGCAGTGGTGGTGATGATGATGGTGGTGGTGATGATGATGGTGGTGATGATGATGGTGGTGATGATGATGGTGGTGGTGGTGGGCCCGATAGCTCGTCAAAAATAATAACGGAGTGGCAGTCAAGGAATGGAATGCGCATCGCGCAGGAGAGCACGCCTGCCGAGGAGATGGAGCGATGGAATCAGCTCGGTGTGCATGGCGATCGGCTCGGGCAGGCCTTCATCCAGCAGTGGACTGATCATGGCTGATCATGATGATGTAATCACGTTATGACCACGTCTGCACAGCTGGCCCATGTCGCCCAGACAGCTGATTGAACAGCTGAGACGATGAACACGCTAAAAGTTGTATCTCGTGCGACTGGAACGCTAAGAGTCGTCTGTAATCAAATACTTTACATGTACTATGACACATCGAGCATCATCGGTCCTGGTCATTCCACTGCTGGATTAAGATGTCTGCACGCCTTGTCGTTAGAAGGGGCTGTTTGACCATACTTCACCACGCAGGTCGGTACGCGTTGGTTAAGAGCTTTGTTGTTGTTAGCTAGCAACACCGCCTGGTATTGTATTACTGCCTGGTGTTAAATGACACGTACGTTACTGTATATTCTGTATAATATATAAGCTATATTGTAGGCATATATTACGAATGTTAATCAGAATATTTATACTGGAGGAATCCGATGAGCTATAAAGCTCATTTTTTTCTTTCTTACAGATGTCCAGTGTATTAGGTTCCCCCGTTTCGCATTGTGTATTGTACGGACTCGTGCCGTGAGTGAGCGCCGATGGAAGGGCTTGCGAGATCTGACGATATCGGCGGGCGCATTGGGATTGTGTGGCCCCCGTGATCAAATATATAATGGGCGACGTTAAGGGCAATGCTCCTTACTCAGAGCACATCGAGACTACTTTTTGGTTCTTTCGGTAAAGTCACGTAGGTGAAAAAAATAAAAAAATATCTAAATAATCAAATTAAATCACGACGTTTCGGAAGCAACACAAGCTTCCGTCATCAGATGGGACAAACCACAGCAAAAAAAAACATGACTTTTGTGGTTGTCCAACCTGATGACGGAAGCTTGTGTTGCTTCCGAAACGTCGTGATTCAATTTGATTATTTTTTATTTTTTTATTCTTATTTTTATTTATATTTTTCACCTTGCGTGACTTTACCGAAAGCACCAAAGAGTATGGATCCTTACAGTCACGAAAACTTAAAATCTAGAATGACACACAGAGACTGGCCACAGAGACAGAGTGGGCGATTATTGTCGGAGGCTGCGTTTGTTTACAATGCATCGCGGCTCTCGATTTTTGTTGTTGTTTGTATAAAATTCGAAAATTATTTGCGTCTTGTTCTTTTGGGTTGCTGACCCCTGGGCTGACAATAAACAATTAACTATAATCTGATGTACAATACACTTCTACGTACAAAAAAACTAGAATCACCTATAAACTAATTCTAGATTTGAAACTTTCGTGACTGCAAGGATTCATACTCTTTGGTTTTTTCGGTAAAGTCACGTAGGTAAAATAATAAATTCACCTATAAACTGTTGTCAAAACGTTTTGACGGACTTCAATACACGTGTGAGCTATGAAAAAGGGCCATTGCCCGAGACGTCGCCTATTATATATTGTTCTTTTAAGGCCAAAAAAGACAAAGATCTCCCGTATAGCCTGAACAGACTGTTTGGGCAAGTGCTGTTAGCGGGCACCTATGAAGGTCGGCACGGCACATGAGGCGGTGGGTGGCCAGCACCACGCCCGGCCGCCTTTGTCTCCCCAGTGACTGTGTTTACACATCGCACCAGGTACTCATTTGAGGCTGAGTCGACCTAGGGAAGGCGCAAAACTCGGTTCAAATAATCGCCACAGGTGTTGCGCCGCGAGTGGGAATCGAGCCCAGGTTGCCGGGTTCGTAGCGCAGTGCGCTAACCACTACACCACCGCTCCCCACTGTTAAGGCAACGCAGAAGCACACTCGCTTCCTATTGCTTGTGCACCATCACTAACAACACACGGACAGCAACAGCAGCGCCACCAAATTATCTGTTCTATAGACGCGCGTTTGCACACAGGCGTGGATACCGTACCTATACGTAGCACGGGGTAATTTATTGTTTGATTAAAGAATGCGTAAATTATCCACCCAATAACGATCTCGGGGCGGGTGACTCGTTCGCTATTAATAGACGCGCGGCGTTTGCAGGTGCGCTAATGCGTGACAGAAGGTTGGTGGAATCGTGTGTGCTGTGTGGAATCAACTTCCTGAGTTTGAGCTGCATTGGTTCCTCTGTTGCTGGCGGCTTCCTTAATGCAAACCCCTCGGCACCACTCGCCACATAAGACAAAGATCCCCCTACCATAGCCTCAACGGGCTGTTGGGGCAAGTGCTTTTGGCGACCACGTAATGAAGTCAGATGATCGTCCGTGGTCTTGGCCATGAGCGGGAATCGAACTCAGGTCGCCCGGGGGTTGTAGCTCTGCGCGCTAACCACAGCACCACCACTCCCCCCCCGTATTCCGCTCGTGATGAACGCTCAAGTCACGGCAGGTTGGAGTTGGGTTCCGCAAGCTGTCAGGCCTGGGGCGGTCACAACCACGTGGAATCGGTTACTGATCATGATGATGATGACGACGCACGATTCTCATGATGACTGATGACGATTAAAATGATCAAAACCTAATGACAAGGACATTGATGACGGTGACGAGGACGATAACGATTGAGTTGGTGACTGATGATGATGATAGTGAATAATGATTGCGTCTGACAATGGTGTTCACTGATGCTGGCGATGGTGACGTTGTGGTTAGGGGATCGCGTCTGTCCCTCCTCCAATGTTGGAGCGCACGGAGTCAGCAACGTCACGAGCCATGAGCTTCCACGACGCGCACAGCGGTGATTAGCCCCTACCCCTTGCCTACCCCTTGCCTACACCTACCCCTTGCCTACACCTACCCCTTGCCTACCCCTTGCCTACCCCTACCCCTTGCCTACCCCTTGCCTACACCTACCCCTTGCCTACCCCTACCCCTTGCCTACCCCTACCCCTTGCCTACCCCTTGCCTACCCCTACTGCTTGCCTACCCCTACCCCTTGCCTACCCCTACCCCTTGCCTACCCCTTACCTACCCCTTGCCTACCCCTACCCCTTGCCTACCCCTACCCCTTTCCTACCCCTTGCCTACCCCTTGCCTACCCCTACCCCTTGCCTACCCCTACCCCTTGCCTACACCTACCCCTTGCCTACCCCTTGCCTACCCCTACCCCTTGCCTACCCCTACCCCTTGCCTACCCCTACCCCTTGCCTACCCCTACCCCTTGCCTACACCTACCCCTTGCCTACCCCTACCCCTTGCCTACCCCTTGCCTACCCCTTGCCTACCCCTTGCTTACCCCTATTCCTTGCTTACCCCTACCGCTTGCCTACCCCTTGCCTACCCCTACCCCTTGCCTACCCCCTGCCTACCCCTTGCCTACCCCTACTGCTTGCCTACCCCTTGCCTACCCCTACCCCTTGCCTACCCCTTGCCTACCCCTACCCCTTGCCTACCCCTTACCTACCCCTACCCCTTGCCTACCCCTACCCCTTGCCTACCCCTACCCCTTTCCTACCCCTTGCCTACCCCTTGCCTACCCCTTGCCTACCCCTACCCCTTGCCTACCCCTACCCCTTGCCTACACCTACCCCTTGCCTACCCCTTGCCTACCCCTACCCCTTGCCTACCCCTTGCCTACCCCTACCCCTTGCCTACACCTACCCCTTGCCTACCCCTTGCCTACCCCTTGCCTACCCCTATTCCTTGCCTACCCCTACCGCTTGCCTACCCCTACCGCTTGCCTACCCCTACCCCTTGCCTACACCTACCCCTTGCCTACACCTACCCCTTGCCTACCCCTTGCCTACCCCTACCCCTTGCCTACCCCTACCCCTTGCCTACCCCTACCCCTTGCCTACCCCTATCCCTTGCCTAACCCTTGCCTACCCCTTGCCTACCCCTACCCCTTGCCTACCCCTACCCCTTGCCTACCCCTACCCCTTGCCTACCCCTGACTACTGACCCCCTCACCCCGAATCCCGACAGACCCGGCGGAGTACGACCAGTACACGCAGTGCCTGGCCAAGGCGCTCTGCTACGTGGCCACTCCCATTACCGTGGGGCTGTATGCGCCTTGGGGCAGCGGCGTGGATCATCTGCAGTATAAGATCGAGAGTGAGTGAAACCCTCCTAGTCCCCAACGCCTCCACACTTCTCCATTCTCCCCATCTCCAAATCTCTAGATCCTCCAATCCCCACAACTACGCATTTCCAGACCTCCCGACCTCTAGATCAACCGACCTCTTGATCGAATATTGCAGTACCTCCATCATCTGATAACCCCATCTGCAGACCTCCCAATAGATGAATCTCACATCTCTCGATCACGAGATCTCCCGACCGGTCAAACTCCTGATATCGAGTTATCACCATTTCCCAATCTGCAGAGCTTCTCCAGAACCTCCTGACCTTTTCAAACTCGAGACCTTTTGACCACCAGATTCTCCAATCCAATCTCAAAGCTTCTGACCTCTCAATCTGTATATCTCGTCGATCTCTCAATATATCAATTGCTCGATCTCCAGAACTCTCGACCGAAAACATTGACCCTCGGAAAATACACCGAGAGAAAGTAAACTTCGACCCCCTGCCCAGTAGTGTGGACACAGAATCCTGCCATCTCCCCTGCAGACTCTGTTCTTGCGACCCCCCCCCCCCCCCCACCCCGTGTCCACCCAGGGTGCCTTGTCGCCAATGCCGCCACCATCGAGGAGAAGGAGTGGGCGCGCCTGGCTGAGCGGCCGCGCTCGGCGGAGGGCCCCCTCGGGGTGCTGGCCCTCGTCGCGCGGCTCCTCTTCTACGACCCCGTGCTGACGCGGCGCCAGCGCGACCGTCGCAACGTCCGCTTCGTCTTCGTCCCCTTCAATGCCTGGGAGTTCGCCGGCAGCGACCGCCTCTGGGCCGGCCTGGTCACGGCGCTGTGCGAGGCGGTGCGCCTGAACTTCCGCACGCTGCCCACCGCGATCTACCGCGCCGTCCGCAGCCGCGCGGTGCCCACGCGCCAGCACTGCGGCGGGGGGGACACCGACTGGGAGGTCAAGCGGCTGTTGGGCGTGCCACTCTGGTTTGTGCCGATCATCTTCCTCGCGCTGCTCGTTTTGTTACTGGTCATCGTGCTGGTGCTGGGCTTTCCGAACGGGCAGGTGGTGGCCATCGAGGGCGTCTGCGCCGGCCTACTGGGCGTCTCCTCGACGGTGGCGCTCCGGAACGTGCTGGCGATCGTCAGGAGCGCGGTGGTGACGCAGAAGGCCGAGGTGGAGAAGATCATGAACAGGACGGACTTCAGCGACCAGCTGGGCTTCATGTGCAAGGTGAAGCAGGAGGTGCAGGTCGTCACCAACTTGGTGCGCTACATGGAGGTGTTCGAGCGCCGCCGGATCCGCATCGTCCTCAAGGTGTGCGACCTGGACCGCTGTGCGCCGGACAAGATCGTGAGCGTGCTCGAGGCCATGAGCATCCTGCTCTCCGACAAGCACGCCCGCTTCGTGTCGCTGCTCGGCGTGGACCCGCGCGTGGTGGCCGAGGCGGTGGAGCGAGTCTACGCGAACCTGGGGAAGGCCTCCGACAACAGCTACCTTCTGCTCAACCGCACCGTGGACCTGCCCTTCACGGTGCCCCAGATGGACAAGCGGGTGAAGCTCGGCTTCTTGAACGCGTTCGCGGAGGGCATGGACTGGGCGGTCAACGACGACGCCGCCGCCGGCTTGAGGTCGGTGGCGTTTGGCGAGCGGCGTTCCCGCCGTGGCCCCGACGACGACGCCGCCGCCGCCGCCGCCGCCGTGCCCCTCGCGCCGTGCGCGAGGGGCACGGCGGCATCGCCGTTCGTCCTCGCCGCCCTGCAGTTCCTGAAGAGCGGCGACGGCACCGTCCTCGACTACGTGGAGCACAACCTCGTGACGATGCGCAGGATCGTCAACACGCTGCCCGTCATCGTCCGCCTCGCGGTGGCCGCGCACGGCGGCCTCGGCCCCACGCTCACGCCCGAGAGGATGGTGGCCTGGACGGTGCTGAGCACGCAGTGGCCCTGCCGGCTCAGCTGGACGCTGCAGTGCGGCGCGGCCTGGGCGGACGAGCCGGGGGTGGGCGAGGACGCGTCGATGTGGGACGTGTACGAGAGGTCCCTGACCGAGTTCCGGGCGCTCATGAAGGACCTGGACGATTTCTTCGTCCTGGACGGGGACTCGGCGCAGTTCCAGAGGTTCTTGAAGCGCGACCACGTGTTCACGGTGAGGGAGGGCGCCATGCTGCGCCCGCTCAGCGTGAACCTCGACCGCTCCATCCAGAGCCAGATGGAGCTCCTGCGGGGAAAGTACAGCATCAGGAACTTCGATAGGAAGCGCGGCGGCCATGGCAAGGCGTTCGATGCCACCAAACTCCCCGACATGACGCCAGAAGACGTCTGCAGAGAGGTACAGCATGCGCGATAATCATTGCTGGGGCTGGGGGGGGGGGGCGGGATAAGCCTCAAAGCATTCATCCATAGCCCTGTGGCCTTAATAAATATTAAATAGACAACGTTTTGACTCATGGATCCTTCGTCATATAGTAAGTAGGTCTGGACATTCGTTATCGCGCGCGCTTGCGAGTCCACGTGTCATCCAGTCCGTCATGAGCGCGTCACGCTGATCACGCACGGGAGTCCGCTCTTCGCTATTTAACGACGCCGCTGTCGCGAAACCGCCTCGGACCCGAGGACGGATCCCGAACATTTGCCCGGAAAACCCTTGCCCTGGTCTTCGGGCCCGCCGGAGAATTCCTGCGCCGAGGGACGGCTCGTCGCCGGTGTCTGCGCCGCGTCTGTCCACAGGAGGTTGGCCAAAGGGGGGGGGGTGGGGGGGTTGGGGGGGGCCACACAGCCGGCTTGGCCGCGAGCAGGGTGCTTGGTGAACCCCCCGGAGCTTCCGCTCTATGTCAGATCCTCAAACCTGTCAACCTTTTATCATTGCCCTGCTTTATTACAGGCCAATTCAGACCTTGTTGGTCACCCCGTGCCCCTTATATGTTTCAACGTTCACCCTACCAAATCCCATCACGAGGGAGAAACACAAACAAATACACGTTTTCCTTGCCCGTATTGACACGTGTGTTTGCCGTGTGGACCCGGACACTCGATTTCCCCTCGACAAGAATACTGGGTAAACCGTGTGGGTTGACGGGTGTGGATTCTCGTGGTCGCCACCGGTGCCGTTTCTATCTGGCAATAAGTCATCTCCGACCTTCTCCTGACGCGCCAGGGCGGAGGCGGTACAGGGAAGTGCGGACTAATCCCCACCTGTTCCATCTGCGCGGCAGAGAGTGCGCGCACGTGGGTTTTCTCCGGCCGCTCTTGGTTGTCTTCCACGGCATGCGTACACGCTCGTTCATCTGAAATGTGTAGAGGACCGCAGAGCTTGGGAAATGATTGGTGACGCCAGCTCGCCGCCTGGCTGCTGTCTTCCGGCTTGCCTGCGCTTCCTCGGCGATTATGGGAAAATAAATAATCGCGAATGATGACGGAGTTATTTTTAGCACGTACGCATTATTATTGCGCGAATATTAATGAAATTTTTTATAAGAACTTAACGTTCACAGAACACGAAGGTCAGTGACGAGTGTGGGACCCTCCCATCTATAAGTCAGACTTCTAAATACGTGGACATGTAATTAAAATGTGTACCCACCAACAACGTCAAACTACAGCTTGAACACTTTTCGCTGCTGAGCTTGAAAATATGTACTGCGTATGATTTCCAATGTAGTAAAACTAACAAGGTGAGGAGCCCGCGATAAATCTAACCCCCTCCCCCCCCCGCCACAATCTCTACAGTCCCCTATATATGAAGGTGTTATCGGCCAATTCACTCGGCACTTGTGATGCCTGAGGCTACCCATTCACCTCCAGCGCAATCAAATCGTGAGCACGTTTCCTCTTTGCGCCAACGCTGTAGTGCAAGGCTGTCGCGAAGGAGGAGGTGGAGGGCGCGGTGGTTGACGGGCGGGCATCATCTGCGGTCGTGTCCGCAGCAAGGGGCCGGCGATTGCGCGGTGTTTCCCCAACGGGGTCATTTTGCGGTGTAAATCCCCGATTTTGGACCACGACGCCAGGCAAACGCGGCCCCTGCATGTTTCTTATTCTGCTTCTTCTTCGCGTTACCTTTCAACGTCCACCGTGAAGCAGGGCGGTTTTTCTTATTTATCGTGGACACACGAACATTCGTCGCCGCGGGTCCGAATCGCGCACTACGTACCCCTCGCCCGGGTCGCCGCTTGCCCCCTGCCCCGTTGCTCCCCTGACCCCACGGAGCGTTGCTCTCGCACGCAGATGGAGGCGCTGGAGCTGAGCTCGGAGCGGCTGGCCGGCTACCAGAGCCGCGCCGTGGAGCACGGCGTGAGCGGCCGCGCTCTGCTCCATGGCACGGAGGAGGAGGTCAGGAGGGCACTGGGGATGCAGGCGCTGGGCGACTGGGCCACCTTCCGGGACCACTTCCTGGGGACATCGCGGATGTCGCGGGCAGCGCGGGACAAGGTGGACGGTGGGGATGATGAGATGGGCGGAGAGTTGGACGAGCAGGAAGACGACGAGGAGGAGGAGATGCGAGCTTGTGGAAATCATCGCCGGCGCAGGCGGAGGACGGACGCGTCGCGTCGCAGAGTTTGAACGTTTCTGCGGGAGGATGAGTCCTTTGAAGGATTTTTGCGCATGCGGGCTCGGTGGCTTGGAAGGGTCGGAGTTCTGAACCAGGCGGGAGAGATGGTGTCTTGACCGCGTAGATTTTAAACCTCTCGGTTCAGTATATATTTGATAAGATTTGAGCACAAGGATACAAATAATATTATATTAATGACAACCTTCCCCTGCCATAACCTGGGGTGCGAATACTCGTATACGGGGGCTAGGTTTCCACTCAAGGTCTTGTTCATATTGGCTGCTGTCCGTATAAAGGTACACGACTGGCAGGCGAACTCAAAACATCACCACAGGGGGCTGTTCTCTTCTTTTGGATAGCAGCAATATGTTCAGGAGCTAAATGTGGAGGTTTGCTGGCCACGACGAGAGGGCTTCTGGAGTGAAGAGTTCGCGTCGTTTTTCTGTTCCTCCTCCTCCTCCTCCGTTGAAGGAGCGCGCAGACCACAGTGGTTTACTGTGCAGTCCATCGTTTGGGTTGCATGGCCACAATCGCACTGGTGTGGCTCGTGTCTTTAATTTGATCGCTATGTACCTCTGGGTGTCCATGTGCCTCTTGGTGCCTCTGGATATCTACGTATATGTGGCTCTATGTATCTCTCTTTGTCTCTTTGGGTCTTCCTTTGCTGCCCATATTTTGGGTTGCATGGCCTCAATCGCACTGCTCTGGCTTGTGTCTTTATTTCCCAATGTGCGAGGGAGGTGTGCGCATCGGCCTGGCGATGTTCTGATGCGGTTGATGATGGTTCCACCAGTGTCGACAGGGTGAAATGTGAAAGCCAAGAGAAGGTGCGATGACGTGTGGGTCTCGAATGAGAAGGTGTTTGTTCTGGACGTCCGCGTTGCTCCACTCTGCTCTCCTCCAGAGCCGGGTGAGATTTGAGGATGGTGACAGCAGCGCGGTGCCAGGAGAGGGATCGCGAGGATTAAACAACAAGAGGCGGAGTTGGAATGATATCCCGTGTGGTCTCGTGATCCCGGAGTCAGTAGTCGAGATACTACAACTCGCACCGAGACCGCACACGTCCCGAGGTCTCAAACGCGTGTCGCTGCCTGTGTTTGAACCCGAGGTGTCCACGTGTCGTAGCGAGTCCATGGTCTCGGGCCGATAGCTTGGTGAAAAGGTTGAGAATGTGCCCCCCCCCCAAAAAAAACCCCCCCCACCTTGTTTGCTTTTCTGGGATGTAAAAGTTGTTCAGATCCGTGGTTTGCAAACCCCCCCCCCCCCCCCCCCCCCCCACTTCTCACGTCTCTTGCTTTGCGTTTAAATAAATGACGATTGTTCAAGCGGGCAATGCGATGCGTTTCATTTCCGCGGTGGGTATTTACCGGGAGCGCTCCGTGCCGTCTGCTTGACGGTGGACGTCGAAGGTCCCGGGACGCCACTCGCAAGGGCAGTTGCCTGCCCGCGGTCATGGTCCAAATTTTTGGCGAATTTGGAGGAAGAAGAAGAAGAAACAACACCCCTCAAATTACTCGCTTGGGATCGCAACAAAGATAAAGATCCCCCGTAGAGTCTTTAACAGACTATTGTGGCAAGTGCTGTTAGCGAGCGCACGTGAAGGCCGGCAAGGCACGTGAGGCGGTGGGATGTCCAGCACCACGCCCGGCCGCCTTTGTCTCCCCAGTGACGGTGTTTACACCCCGCACCAGGTAGGGGAGGCCCAAGATCGGTTCAGATAATCGTCACTGGTGGTGGCCGTGAGCGGGAATCGAACTCTGGTCGCCGGGTTCGCAGTGCGCTGACCGCTACCACCACCGCTCACGCACACAGCGAGCGGCAATCATCGCCACCGGCTGCGAAATCTTGGCAGGACCCTCCTGAAAAAGAGTCCTGAGATTCGGCGACGCTCTCTCTTGGGTAAGCAAGCGGATTGATAATTACGATACCAACGGTAGTAAAAGGATACAATGAACGAGAGTAGTTAGGAGTGCTTATGAATGGTTTAAGGCGATGAAGTAAAGCAGCGTACCAATCTGCGTAGAGTAGCATGTGTGTGTGTGGGGGAGGGGGTGGACACAGTCCCATCGTCAGTGAGCTCCTCCGGCAGGCGAGGAGGCTGCGTTGGCTGGGTCACTTAGCCCCCGCATGCCCAGCCACCACATGTCCAAGCAGCTTGTGTTCGGCGGGATAGAGGCGGGGTGGGGGGGGCTAAACGGGGGAGGGGGGTAACCTCTTACAAGACGGCTGGCTAACGAGGAAGAATAGACCGAACATCTTCTCGAGGGGCTCTCTGGTGGACGCCCTTACGCCAGCTGTGGCGCGAGAAACTCACGGATGTGGTGCACCTCCTTAACCTTCATCTTGCAGTGACGTCGTGTGACATGCAAGGCATGCTGGGTGCAACGGGCTTATGATCACGATGGCATAGCTCGCTGGTTAAAAAATCCGGAATGGTCGCGGGATCTTTAACGTCTACCGTGAACCAGACAGCGCGTGGTATTGTTTTCTTCCGCTTGATGCGCCCGCAGTATTTACCAGGGCGGACGCTGGAGTGAAACCGTGAACCTCTGCAACGAGCGACCAACGGCGCATCTTGTCCTGTCTGTGTGGCAAGGTGAAGGTGGCACCACTGTGTATGCGTGTCGCCTGCGTATTGAGCCATCGGAGAGCCGCTGTTCAGGCTTGCTCATACCGGCGATACTGCCCGGAAATCGGTAGTGTTGGATCAGCTGATCCACGCTCTGTGAATCGGCGGTGCGGGGGGGGGGGGGGACAGTGTTGGATCAGCTGATCCACGCTCTGTGAATCGGCGGTGCAGATGGGGGGGGGACAGTGTTGGATCATGCGATTCGTGGGCTGGCTCTGGTGACTGCAGCAGTCACATTTGCGGGGATTTTGTCCCTTAGTTTCCCATCGCGACGAAGCAGGAGGCGACTGCATCTGCCATTCCCCGGTCCGCAGCGGGCCAGGGGCTCACCCACTCGCCGTAGCGGCGCTCTACGGCGCAAGGGGAGGTTGGACTTGGACACCGCGCGCTGTATGGGACGCGTGCCGGGTACGGGCAGTGCGCGGCGCGTCACTCCTAGGCTGGGGCGTTGTGTGTGCGTGTGCACGCGTGTGACTCACGTATTCATCTGCTGCTACACGCTCACATGCACTCACAGCGACTCCTGAGTCATCCTATATTATCATCTCGCACCCACGCGTGTTCCTGCAGATTTCAAATTATACTTGCGGACGAATTCCAGATTTATCTGCAATGTAACAAATGTGTTCACTTCGATTTTAACCGTAATCATTTTTTGGGGGGGCTTAATTCGGTAACAAATTGACATTCGTAGCCTCTGCAACTGTGTGCATTATTGCTGCAGCGGGCATAATTTTCGGGGGATTATATATCAACGTTAGAATGATGCGTTAGCTCTTTGACCCGCGAGACTGATGTCGGGACATTAATGACCAGAAAGCGTTATTACGAGCTACCGTCCGTAGTGGATGTACAGCAAAACGAGACAGACAGACAGATAGAGACATTTCTGGATTAGAGTTGATCATCCTACAGAAGCTACCGTCCGTAGTGGATGTACAGCAAACGAGACAGACAGATAGATAGAGACATTTCTGGATTAGAGTTGATCATCCTACAGAAGCTACCGTCCGTAGTGGATGTACAGCAAACGAGACAGACAGATAGAGACATTGCTGGATTAGAGTTTATCGTCCTACAGAAGGAGGCTGTTTCCACGGCTGAGCTGCGAGCTGCGGGTCAGCACAGATGGATGTCCACAACGGATTTCTCCACAAATACGGTAACGGAACGTCTGGACAACACTCGCGTGTTAGATGCAATTGCCCTACTACCATGAAGAAGGGCAATTGCTCGACACGTTTCCTAAATATATATTGCCGTTCTATTGCAGTGTCATTGACGAATGTGTCGTTGTTGTTGTTGCTGCTATTTGTGCTTGTGTACCGGTGCCAACGCGGCAGAATCGCAGCATATGTGGTATGAACGCATGCGGATCCATTTGTATATACCCCACTGATTCATCATGATTCCCCCTCATTTTTACTTTATTAGCAACGGCTGAGTGGACATTGCGCATAAAGGGATGGCCAAAATATCGTAGAGAGTTAAAGGAAGCAATGCGTGTGCTGAGATTGGCGAGGAACGTGCAGAGGCTTTGATTTAGAATCGTGTCTTCTCTATAGACTGCAGTACATTTTCAGTACTGTATTATTTTAATTGGCTATCTATAAATGGATCGCCCTGTGTTACGTTAGAGAAAGCATATACGGTATTATAAGATGATGATGATGTGTATGACGATGCAATATTCGAGTTGTATTACGACGATGATTAATGCAATTGATAAGCACGACTTATCAAGGGTATCCTGCATTAATGGTAATGATGACGTTTGACAATCATGATGATGACGGTAATCACGATTAATTTTTATTCTACGAGAATGGTGACGGTGATTCATGGTGATGATGATGATGACGGTGGTTGTGTATATAATTTATAATATGATGCAATAATGTTCCCATCAACCCATCGATAATGAAAGAAAACCTCAACACAGTCGTCAATAAGCACTGCGTGGCCTTCAAAGTAGAACACGATATTAAACGACGTTTCGGACAACGGCCCTTCTGGATTGATTCAGAGAACATCATACTACTTCATAATATCCTGACGAAAACTCCATTCTTTTTTTAAATATCTAATTTCTTAAAGAACCGCTCTTTGTGTTTAGTTTCTTGTCCCCCCGCCGCACCTCCAAATGAGCAGGGTTGGCCACGTACGGTGCGAAAGAAGTTCAACGTACATACTAAGACATCTAATCTCGGCACGCCGTGCATCCCTGCGCGATGAACTCATCATGTCGACGATGTCTCTGCTACAGATGCCTCCGCGCGCTCATGCTATGGCATTAGTACAGTGTGCGTGGATTAACTGGGGGAGTCATTTAATCTGCACAATGTCCCGGACGCTTTCCCGCACAGAGAGAGAAAGAGAGAATTCGTTGCGACCCAGATTCAATCTCGCTGGGAATCCAACAACAAAGCCAACGATCTCCCCGTGCAGCCTTAACAAGCGCTGTTCTCGAGTACCCATGAAGACCGCCACGGCACGGCCGCCTTTGTCTACCTAGTGCTGATGTTCATTGCACAAACGCACCAGGTGCTCGTTTAAGCCTGAGTCGGCCTAGGGGAGGCTCTGCACCGGTTCAAATATTCCTCACTGGTCTTAGCTGTGGGCGGGAATTTAGCATGGCTGATGGACATCTGTAAAAAAAGAGCTTTATAGCTCGTTGGGTTCCTCCAGTATAAAGAAATACTCTGAATCTGGCATCCCCACCTCAACGTCCACTCCTCCACAACCTTCTCCTCCTCCCCCCACCACCACCACCACCAGGGGGATTCCTGGTGAAGCGCTGGCGGCAGCGTTTCGTGGCGGTGGAAGAAGACGGCTCGTTATACATCGCCAGGGGTCCCGGGGCCTGCCCGCGGGGCCCCATCGCCCTCCCGAGCGCCTGCAGAGCAGTGGTGCCGGGCCTCGAGGTGGGCTCTCTGCCGCCACTCCCTACAGGGGCCCGTCCGGAGTGTTGCCTGGCCCTGCAATTGCTGGGAGGCAAGCACGTGTTCCTGCTGGCGGGCGACGCGAGCGAGTTCAGGTGTGTGCGTGTGTGTGTTTTTGTGTTCTCCCACTATAATGCCATCGTGTTTGAGGCCGTATCTGCATTATGATTACTATGGCTGAGATACAGCGTGGCATTTTGATGATAATAGTCTATTTTCAACTGACATTTTATTTTCAAAAAAGGAAAATATATTGTGATTATGATTTGCTAGATTTTTTTTAAAATTTATCTCATCTGTTATTGTTTATTATTAATTTATTTTACTGCGACTTGTTGCATGTGTCGGAGAAGCGGCGGTGTTGTTTATGTTGATGAAACTCGATTTAAGAGCATCTTGGCTCACAGGGTACTTCAAAATAAACTCAGGTGGGTCTGACGCTGGGAGCAGGAAGGCAGTGCGGGTAGTACCCTAGCAGGAGTGGCAACAGTCGGGTGAGGTTCTTTCCTCTCGCCCTGCCTCCCCCCTTCTCCCCGTTCCCTATACGCCCCCCCCCCCCACCTTTTTACTGGGGCTGCCACGGTGGCGAGATGTTAATTCTCCCGCGTGGTATACTGGAGGTCTTTGGTTCGATCCCGACTCTGACGCGTGCATATTTTGGGGTTTGCGTGTTTCTCTCTCCCCGTGGTCGCTTGTAACTTTCTGCGGGTCCTCAGGTTTTGTTCCCTCCACATTGAGAATTAACGTCACGCGTTCAGAGCATTTGTCTGCTGCTATACATTTCCACGTGATAAGCCGCTTCTTTGAGCTGTCATTTGTGGCCAGGCCGCTTCTGAAAAAGAGCGATATAGCTCAGTGGGCCTTACCTGGTAAAAAATAAATAAAATCAATGTTTAATTCGGTTTTAAATGCTCCTTGCCTAGTCACCCCTGGGACAATGAAGCAGACGTTCCACGCTTCTCTCTGTTGATTGTGCACGAGCATAGATTGTGGAATTTATACCCGTCGAGTTTCTGTGCCCCTCCCCATACGTGGCGTGTTTATGATCTGTGTCGGGCTCTTGCTGAAATACATTAAAATCATGAATAAAAAAAAGAGTATAGAACTTAAACTGATGCCAGCTTCGAGTGGTATTTTGATAACCAGGATGGGAAAATCAAACAGAAAGCAAACAAAGTTCGGCAAAGAAGCGAACAGCAATCAGGACGAACACTAAAATGTATACAATGAAGAATAAAACAATACTCTTGCGCAAACACAAATACTGTAAATGTTAAATCAAAGCTAAAATAGAAAATTCCCTGCAACGAAAATCTGCTCGGGCAGATTACTTACATATTGATGGCAGCAATTAAAAACGAAGCTGCAGACACATTAAACCTTAACACCGATATATTGGGTGACTACAATACTATATTATGTAAACAAACGCCGATATATGTCAAAGGCAATCAACTCACATCACACCCGCAACCTTCCAAGGAGCATAAACCATCACGCGAACTTCGATCATCCTCGCAGCAACGGCGTTTGGTTAACCATCGAACAAATATGGTCACCGCATCGCGCGCTTTCAGATGCGTTTCTGCGGCCGTCTGGAACGCTCTCCCGATATTAGGAATGCACTTTAGCTATGCACTTTTAAATCATCTAGATTGAAAAATAATTTATTTAGAACTGCTTTTTGTGTTTAGCTTGTTGTCGTTCACACCCCCCCCCTCCCCGCCGCACCACTCGATTACCACGGTTTGCTACGTACGGTACGAAAGAGGTTCAACATACGCAACGTACATGCAACACTCCCGCAACCTTCACAATCCACCCGCACCTCAACAATAACACCCGCACCCACGTAGCCCACGCGTTGCCCCCGTCAGCTCCCCCCCTGCACGGTTGATTGACGTGCGCTCTCTGTCACGGTTCCTTGTCCCCCGCAGCCGCTGGTTCGGTATCCTGATGCAAGCCAGGAAGGTGAGTGATGGGTCGATCACGGCGCGGTCCAAACTCGCGTATTAAACGTGTGAGCTCCGGCCCCTCAGACCCCCCCCCCCCCCCTCAGCTCACGCTCCCTCAAACAAACTCGTGTCATTGCACCTATGGGACACTTTTTTGCTGGTTACAAAAAAAAAGAATAGGCTATTAGTGCGTTATTTGCGGTGCCTTTGTGCTGTTGGCTGTTTGGCGGTGTTGTCTCGTCTAATGCTATTGGTGAGATAAGGCCGCGGAGGGGCAGCAGTCTTTGGTGGAGGCCAATACGTACCAAGGACAAGGCATACATTATTGTCAACGCTTCTTTGTTTTAACCACGAGTATGTTCCTGGCGAATGCAGACAATGCCTTTCAATACGCGTCTATTTGGTGTTTGAACATCTTAACACCTCCTGTATCATTGCCGGGAGGAGTAAAGCCTGTCATTCTTTCATCACGTTCCATTTTGTACGCACGAGTGTTTCATTTTCGTTGGTACTGATATTCGTCGCTGCTGATTTTCGTTGGTAACTGATATTCGTTAGTACTGATTTTCGTTGGTACTGATTTTAGTTGGTACTGATTTTCAGTGATTTTCATTGGTACTGATTTTCGTTGGTAACTCATTTTCGTTTAGTACTGATTTTCGTTGGCACTGATTTTTGTTGGCACTGATTTTCATTGGTACTGATTTTCGGCGCAGTATTGCTCACCGTTGCTCTGCGCGCTCGACCTCTCGACCTACAATCCCCATGGCAAACAAACGAAAGCAACTCACGAGCAAGCGCGCACGCTGCTGCCCAGCCGTTCGGCCGTTTGTCCATCGGTGGCCATTGTCACTGCGCCGTTGCGATCCCCTGCCGCCACAGGGCCTCCTGTGTCCACTGGACGGGCGACTCACGCCCTCTGCCTGGCCAGCCGACCCGGCCACTCGCGACAAACAACAGCGGCGCAGAGTCGCCGCCGCCGCCACCAGCAGCACCGCCGCCTCGCCCTCCTCCATCTCCCCAGCGCTCGTCCGCCTCGTCTACGCTCCGCGCTACCCTCGTTCATCGCCGCACGCCGCCGTCGCCGCAGCCGTAGCAGCCGCCACGCAACCCGCCATTCCGCCGTGCTCCCACAGGCGACACGGCCGCCCCTGCGTGGACCTGGCTTTCTTAGTGGCCGTTGAAACGGTGGCCGGGCCCGCGTTGGGCCTCGTGGCCCCGGGGTCGGCTGCCTCCATCGAAGGGGCAGCGCTGCGTGAGTGCGTACTGGGGGCGATGGGCGGTGGCGGTGGTGGCAGTGGTAGCGGTGGAGGTGGAGGAGGAGGGGGAGATTCTGCGCTCTACCACACCGGGGCGGATGTGTTCCACTTTCACGCGCTCGCCGGGGACGCGTACGGAGGAGATTTTGTGGATTACGACGGCTTCGAGGGCGCGGATTTCGGAGCGTTTTCGTTTTGAGGTGGCGTGGTGAATGCGTAGAGGTGTCCTTTGTCCTCGGCAGCGGCCGTGTTAGTAATACTAACATTGATATTCACAGTTCATGGGTGTTTTGTTACTAAAATAGTGTTTCATAGTATTTATAATGTAGGTAGCATTATTACTCAAACTAGATTCCTCGTCCCCTGTGCACTCAGACGCTGCTCTGTGCAGCTCATTTATGCTCGCTCCTTTCTACTCCCTCTTTCCCCTCCGCTCTCATTGTCACCCCCCCCCCCCCCCCCCCCCCCCCCCACTTCTCATCTTCTTTCCCTCCTCCCCTTCCTGCACCGGCTCCGCTCTTTCTTTTTCCCATGCTGCTCATCTTGAGCCGCTCCCTCCTTCTGTGTGTCTCTCCTCTCGGTGGGGACTTTCACCCCGGCCTCCTCTCCCTTTCCCTCGGTGACCTCGGCCCCCTGTCTGCTGCACCCTCTGCTGCAACCGGCTTGCATTACCCTACCCCCGTGGTGCGATCCCACGGGCGGCAGCGCTGTACCCATCCCAGCGGCGCTCTTGGCCGGCGTAATGGCACGAGACGAAGACTTAACACGCGCGCTTCATCGGGGAAATCCTCGCTGCGTCTCGAGACTCTCTTTCAGTGATCGATCCTGCCAAGTTTTGACAGTAGCAGGGGCGCTCTGTGTGCAGCGGCATGGTAAACCACTTAGTCAGCTGCCTCAGGGGATGCGGCGATCAGTTAGATGGGGCCCCAATATTTGATGTTGCCTCGCACGGTCGCACCGAGGCTGTCATATAGTTATACAAAGCTTATTCTTGGTTCTTTCGGTAAAGTCACGTAGAAGGGAAACAATAAAATAATACAAATATAAAACAATACAATTTTCACGACGTTTCGACTGCAACACAAGCAATCATCATCAGGTGTGAAAACCACAACAAGAAAATGGGAAAAAAGTGGCGGTTATTATTTCAAATTTTCTTGTTGTGGTTTTCACACCTGATGATGATTGCTTGTGTTGCAGTCGAAACGTCGTGATAATGTTATTGTTTTATATTTTTATTATTTTATTGTTTCCCTTCTACGTGACTTTACCAAAATAACCAACAATATGAATCCCTGCAGTCACGAAAGCTTTAAATCAAAATTTATACAAAGCTCGTTTGCCCGTCCTAGGACGGAAGCTGTAATATTTACGAAAAAATTTAGCAGAGTTATAATTGTGTCTCGTGGAAATTTAATGGCAGTGAATCTTGCACAAAAGTACGTCATCAAACACCTCACTTAATGTCACTGTAGCACTGTATATAAGTGACCTTCAATTTGCTCAAATTCACTGCTCTTGTACTTCATTCTCTTCTGCTTTCGGTCGCTGGGGTTGAAATAAATTGGAATTCGATACATTATCTGGAAAATCACCACCAAGAAATATGTATTTTACCATAATGTAGAAGCATAATTTAGACTTACCTTTTGTCTCAAGCGCTGAAGAAATAAATAATGGCACCAAATCCACTTTGTCGCTGTGTGGAATTATTGATTAGATTCACGTTCAATTAAGAAACGTCAAACTTAAAGCGAATTTGCGAAAAAAATTTTTTATTTCCGCTCGACCTTCTGCGTGAGTGTAAAAATCCACCCGCTCATGAATATTAATGACGGGGGGGGGGGGTGGGGGGTGCGGCATGTGGAGTGACGTCACGCGCGTTACACACAGACATGCTTGGCTCATCATAGTAGAATGTCGAGGATCCTCTTGCCCAATCACATCAATAAATGTAAACCGCGTTTTAAATAAGTGTGTTGTTCTTTCACGCTGTTGTTGACAACTCATCTCATGTTGGTTGTCAAGGGGGCCTCAACTCGCAGCTTTGGCCATCAGAGGGGGGAGTGGGGGGTGCAAGGCACCCCCCACTCCCCCCTCCCCCACGTTTGTTACGCTGCTGTCTGTGTGCAAATCCTCATCGAGTCATTTGCAGTGTTGATTTTTAGCATGGCGATATTTTGGCCAATTTGCAGTTTGTGTTGTGTGCGTGTTTGTGTTTTTTTCACGCAATTGGAGGGCAACGGAGAACCCGGAGGAACGCCAATGCAGAACAGGGGGGGGGGGGGGAGACCGTACAGACTCCACGCAGAAAGACGCCCGAGTCGGGAATCGAACCCAGGTCGGTCCCAGTCAGTCCACGCTGCTGAAATCCCCACGCGTGAGGTTTGTGATCCTCGCCGCATGTGCAGTCAACGCCGCCTCCGCGTGCTGTACATTGCCCAGCGTCGTTCGGATGCAGTTGCGTAAATGATTGCTCCTATAAAATGAAATAAACCTGCACATTTTTAATGATTATTATTAATATGTGGGCACTGGTAACAATTTTTGAGCTTATCATTTCTGGGGCTCTGTGCGCCAAACCATCATCCACTTAGCATAATCTTTTGCTTCTACATTTAGGGGGCTGGATTATTTGTCCATTATAAATCTGACCAAATGCGATCTCTCTCTCGCGAGCGCGTGTGTGTGTGTGGGGAGCGGTAGTGTAGCGCTGCGCTACAAGCCCGGCGACTCGAGTTCAATTCGCCGCTCACGCCCAATACCAGTGACGAATATTTGAACCTATCCTGGGCTTCCCCTAGGTGGACTCAGCCTCAAATTAGTACCTGATTGTGATGTGTAAACATCGCAACTAGATAGACAAAGGCGGCCGGGCGTGGTGGTGACGGCCACACCACCCCCTCGTGTACTGTGTCGGCCTTCATAGGTGCTCGCTAACAGCACTTTCCCGAAAAGTCTGTTAATGCTATACGGGGGATATTTGTCGCTGTGATTGCTGGGTCATGTGGCCCGCCTGCCCAGCCACCGCATGCTCAGCCACCGCATGCCCAAGCAGCTTTTGTTTGTTCGGACAGAGGGGGATAAACGGGCACGACACGGTTCAGGAGGATGTGGAGCTGAGTGGACTTGTCGATGACTGGTACTAGTGGTGTCAAGATCGGCCTCCATGGAGGAGGTTCGTGAAGGACGCTGCTGGGCAGTTATATGCAGTATCCCTCCACCGCCCTAGTTATTCCTGTGGGTGCAATTAAAACAATAATAATACGCGCCGCCTACTTCACTCACAGTGACAACTCATTTATTTTGAAGTGCTTTCCCCGCATCTCCAATTAGCGCGGTTGGCTACGTGCGGTGCGAAAGAAGTTCAACATGCGTGGATGTTAAAGATTCGCCGACGTCGTTTGCAAGAGTTGCCAATTGTGTGCCGCTGGCGTAGTGGTCGAATTTTGAAAAGAGAAAAAAAAATCACCCCTATTGGGATTATACAGCAGCAGCATCATACATCGCTTATGTCTGCGAAAATTTTCTCCACCGTCGAAATATTCCGCTAGCTCAGATGCGACTATTACCCACAAGAGGCCGCTGTGAGCCCGCGCGTCGCTGAGCGGCTCAGATCCCGCGAGACGAAGACCCTCCCCAACGTTTGCTCTTCGTCCGCCGCAGCGGCGGCCTCTTGCCCATAACACCCGGGCCTGCTGACGAGAACTCGGAGAGGTCGAAACCCGTTTCGCGTTTAGCCGCTTCAGCGCAGATTGTTAGAGATCAATCGGTCCAACAAACAAGGGGCACACGTTCGGCTGCTAATGTCTTGAGAACTGCTGCTTTAAGTGGTTAGTTTGTTGTCCTTCCCCCGCTGCCCCCTCCGATGAGCACGGTGCGAAAGATTTCCAACACACACACACACAAACATGCTGATGGACCGTAATATTATTTTATTTTGACATTCGCACATCTATTTTATACCTCCGCAATCACAAATAGGTCGTCGCGACATTATTCTTTCCGTTTGTTATTATTCTTAATCGCCTTTAACGAATACAATAATAATTTACAGACTGCTCCGCGTATAACCATTAACAGGCTGCTGGGGCAAATGCTGTTAGCGTACACCTATGAAGGCTGGCACGGCACACGAGGGGTTGGTGTGGCCAACACCACGCCCGGACGCCTTTGTCTTCCCTGTGCTGATGTTTACATCGCCACAAGGCTGAGTCGACCTAAGAGAGGGCCAGCACCGCTTGAGTTCGTCTCCGCTGATGTTGGCTTTGTGAGCGGGAATCGAACTCGGGAAAATGGCAACAAGCGAGGGGGCCCTGTCCAATGTTAGCCGACGCCTGGACCCACACATAGGCCCCATCCAGCCCGAGCGAACCCCACCCCCGGCCCGGTGCAGTTGCACCGCCTGCGCACGCAACATGTTAACCACGTCACTGAGAGCACACGGGGTGGGGGTATTGGGTCCGCGCACGTGGGGTTCGCGAACCTACTCGTCTGTACTTTCATCGCATTGCGCGCACAGCAACTCTCGCTGGACCGCACAAGGAGGTCCCATTCTTTACCCCCCCCCCTCCACCACCTCCACCAGCCAGCCCCCCACGATTATTATTTTTCTTCTTTTACCAAAGGACGCGGGGTCCTCTCTAATTTCTACTCTTGAAAGGTTTCCTCCTCCTCTGCCGACCACCCCCTCTCCCACTCTGATCACAGATAAGAGCTCAGATCGTAATTTGGTCCACCCCTACCCCCCACGCGCAACAGAGGCAATTGGACACTTGTTGAAAACTACTCCTTGCAAGCCGACGTAATTTATGGGAATATTTACAGAACGCTAGTGTTTTGGATTTTTTAGTTTTTAATTGTTGTTGTGTTTGTGGTTTTTCAATTTTCATTGCATAGCCTGTGCGAATATAATGAGGATGATGAGAGGGGCGGAGCGCTGGCGCAGTGGTTAACGCACTGCGCTGTGACCCCAGCCATCTGAGTTCAATTAAAGGCCACGGCTGAGATCAGTGGCGAATGACCTGAACGGGTCCTGGGAATGTCAACCCCCCCACCCACCACTCTAGGCCACCCCAAAGCGTGGTGAAGTATGGTCAAGCAATTCTAAATACCTTCGTCCAGCATCGGATTGATGAAGGGTCGCAAAACATAATTGTTCCGTGGCTTGATATCCAGGATTCACTGAATGTCCAGACAACGTCTACAACAACGCACACCCGATTTACAACACTTGGTATGGAAGCAATTTTTCAGAATTCAAACCCCCCGTATTTGTGGAGATTGAATACGTCCATGTGGTTCAAGAGAGAAGACTCAACAACACCGTGACCTTAAAAGGATATATACAGTTTATGTAAAATGTGCACGAAACGTCACCTATTAAATATGTTTTGTCCTGGTAAGGATGCACCGTGTTGTTGTGCTTAACGCAGCAGCAGC